CATCGTAGGTGCACATGGTGTACGAGCAGACCCAGAAAAGGTAAAGGCTGTAAAGGAATGGCCAGTCCCACGACATGTGAAGGATCTGCGCCAATTCCTTGGGCTCGCTAATTACTTGCATAAGTACAGCAATAATTATGCGGAGCAGACTAAGCCATTGTCTATCTTTTGACAAAGGATGCAGAATGGACTTGGTCAAAGGAGCAAGAAGATGCATTCACATCAGCGAAGCATTTTCTTGCAGAGGCACCGGTCTTGGCATTGCCAGACGTGGATAAGCTCTTTAGCGTCGTCTGCGATGCAATCAATTTTGCAGTCGGCAGCGCGCTCATGCAGAAGGATGACAACGGCGTTGACCGTGTCATTTCGTATCAGTCTCGGCTTTTAAAAGCTGCCGAGCTGAATTACTCTGTGCATGACAAGGAGCTACTTTCAATTAAGTGTGCCCTTGTGAAGTTTCGAGTGCACCTCTTGGGCACCGAACCTTTTGTGGTTTATACGGATCACGCATCACTGCGGGCCGCTATAAATTCACCGCACATCTCGCCGAGAATGGCGAGATGGCTAACATTCTTCTCTGAATTTAATTTCAAAGTTGAATATAAGCCGGGTAAGTCGAATGTCTTGGCTGACGCTTTATCGCGCAGACCAGACTTCGAGGCAAGACACCAGGATAGTGTGTCTCGTGCGAAAGCACAAGTTGAGTCGTCAACATTGGCAGCCATGAAGGCCTACCATGTGACGAGCTCAATGGCCTCCGATATGAAGGAGTGTTACAGTCAGGACGAACATTGTCGCCTGCTGTTGGATCATTTTGGTGGGCGAAAGGTTACCCTTCCGTCGCACCTCAAAGCGAAATTAAATCGCTTTAGTTACAGTGATGAACTCTTATGGCACCAGCTGTCACCCTGTGGTCCCTTGAGAATCTATGTCCCTCATAACACAGATCTCAAGCTGATGATACTTCACGAGCGCCATGATGCGCCATCTAGTGGGCATCTGGGCCGTGAAAAGACATTATTACGAGTGTCAGAGGAATTTTGGGCCCCACCTATATCGGTGGGTGGCCAACTATATTCGCTCTTGCGAAGAGTGTCAGCGCATAAAGCCTGCACCTTCGAACAGTGCGCCACTGAAGTCACTGCCGATTCCAACTGAATGTTGGAAGTCGGTCAGTTTGGACTTCATGTTTGGCTTACCGCCTGACCATAAAGGCAGGACGGGGCTCGTCGTCTTTGTAGACAGACTGAGCAAGATGGTGCATTTGGCACCATGTAGCACCAAGATCTCAGGAAAAGAGGCTGCCCTCTTATTCCTGGAGCATGTGTATCGACTACACGGGATGCCCGATTCCATAGTATCGGACCGGGATTCGCGTTTTACGTCGGGTTCTTGGCGTCATGTGTTTGAGCTGATGGGAAGAAAGCTCCACATGTCAACCGCTGATCATCCCCAGACCGATGTCCAGAACGAACGGGCCAATCGAGTCGTGGAGGATTGTTGCGCACAATAGCGACTCCTAAAGAATGGAGCTGCAATTGCCATTCGTGGAGCTAGCTCTTAATAACAGTGTTAACGTCAGTACGGGTGAAGCACCGTTCTACATTAACGGACTGCGTCACCCTCGAACGCCAGTCTCGTTTGTGCGCAGCCCGAGTCTTAGTGGTGGAGGGGCCCTCACTTCGCTCGGTGCGAATGCCAAAGAGGGTCAAAGCTGCCCTAGTGACACTGCTAATTTAGCAGTGTTCACGACACCTATAGGTGTCACAGAGGAGGCACGGCAAGAAATGCCTGTGCTCCTTGACGATGACACTATAGTGTTATCAACAACGTCGACCCATGACCGACCTCTTGAGGGTGTCATAGGCGAGCTGGATGCTAATAGCGCGAGCGAAGCTCAACGCTTGGTGGATGAGCGATTAGCCATCACAAGTGCTTTGCCCTGCCTTTTCAACGATGGAAAGACGCTACAACGTTTATTAATTTCAATATTGGCACGCGCAAGGAGTATCGCACTAAAACCACTCGAGCGTGACCACTCGGATGGTGGTGGCATTCGTGGAAATCCACTACTCACGTAGCCACCCTCGTGACGGCGTGATAGTGAGGCCAGCTTTAAAGTCGAAGGGGCTTTATGCTCACCCTCATCTGAGTGTGACTCTCCATTGTGGATTGTCAAGACATCAGATGTAGGGTCAACAGAGGCGGACGATTTAAAATCGCCGATCTGCTATTGAGTCGCGGCTGTTCTTTCGAAGCAGCGCGCTCAGTTGTGGTCGCTGCACTTGTTGGCGCAGACGACGAGGCCTGCCCTTTGTTGTCAGGAAACATGGAAGCTTCCTGAAGGCAGCGTGTCTCGAATGATGGATACAGAAGTCCCATCAAAGTACTGTGCCCATGACCATTTGGGGTGATGGTAATGGTGTACTCTCATTGTAGTTACAAGTCTTTATCTGCACCATGATGGGATGGACCAGCGCTCTCTGCTGGCAAGCTGACATCAAATGTCGGCGTTGCCACAGAGACACTTGTGCGACGGCTGCGAATCATCGTGGCGCGTGCACTTGGTGTTGGTCTGCATGTGCACCTTTGCAGGCGACCCATCAGCCTTTCCACGTTTCGGTGGCATCCTTTCTTTTTTCCAAAATGTAAAATTCGTCTTAAAGAGGGAAATGGTGTAATGGGCTAATAGCTAAACAGGTTCATTAAATATATGATACTTAACGGGGAGGTATAAAAAAGGTACATGGTACCTTCGACCTGTGGCACATCAATGTGATTCCTCCTTGTAAATGTGAAATTCATGGATGGATTCACATCAACGAGGGTGACGCCAGTTGGGACTAAGCGTCATGGTGACGCTCCAAACAGACGTCACCTACGAGCTTAAATATATCTTAAGCTCGCACGTAAGGATACGTTTCTAAAGAGACGCGTATCCAATCTTGCACAATTAAACAATCAGTACTTAAATATTTATGTTAGTTTAAATTGATTAAAATAAGTCAGTCTTGCATCTACTAAACATCGCACACTGCGCACGAGAATCTGTATAAGCTTCTGCGTGTTGTAAGTGCAGCTCTTTTCTTAGCAGTTCGTTACGCGTTTCGCTTCAAAGCGACTGTCAACGGTTGGTACAGCGCTTCTTAGCGCCGACCAACACCACCGCACGCGGAGGTAAGACGGTATAACCGCTTCCTCGCGCTGCTTGAGGGTGTGCCCACGTAGTATATGGCAGCTTCATTACGAAGTTCCCGTCTACAAATTTGTTTCTTAGTTTGTCAAAGTGTACAGCAGGTCGACTTTCTCGCGAACGAAGTGGTACCAGATGTCGATGTGCTTGTTGCGCTTGTAGAATTTAGCATTCTTGTCCAACGCAAATGACTTGTTGATTGTTCTTGTCGATATTGGTTGCCTCGTTGTTTTGATGCCAAGCTGTACAGTAACACCTTGAGCCGCATCACTTTCTAGGTAGCTTTTAAGAGCGCCATAAATCTAGCTTCTGTTGAAGAGAGTGCTGCCGTTCTTTGCTTCTTGTTTCCTTTAGCTGATGCAGCCTCCGTTCATCATTAAAGCGTACCCATTTGTGTTTTTCCGGAACTCAATATCGCCAGCTCCAATCTCATTCGAGTTCCTGCAAAGATCATGCGTATTGGCTGCTTAAACGTGATTCCATACGACTTTGTATCTTAAATATATAGAAACACTCGTTTAAGAGCTTGTCAGTCTGTTGGGCATGAACCTAATGCAAACTGACTCTAATCTCCCACTGCAGCTGCAAGATCTCCGCGAGGTCCAACCATGATATACATTAGACAGCCCACCGTCCGGCAAAGTTGCTGGCCACTCGAGAACAGAAAAGCTTTGGTCAGTAAACCACGCCTTCGCTTACCGATATGTGTGTATCGACGCGTTGTCCTGTTGAAAACTCACCCAGATCATCCACAAAAGTCACGAGCAGTTTTCCAGTGTACTTAGGTACTTTTCGCTGTTTTGCTTCTCCTATAAGATAGCGAACATGCTTGTCTTAGCGCCTCCAAAGGCACCCCGTCTCATACCATACCTGAGTCACCCTCGGATTGACAAGTAAAGAAAACCCGGTTATCGTTCCTCATATCGTGTCAATATCTCTGGAATCCATCTGGTCCATACAAATTTATCCTCTTTTTTCGTTTGACTTTTGTTTTGGCCCAGTCGTCATCGAAAAGACGACTTTTCTCAGCACAGCACTATAACTAGTTTCGCGATAGCTTTAGGGTAAGCCATGTGTTAATGTGTAAGTACAACCTTATTGGTCCCGCGTGAAGTGTCATCGACGTAATGATGTCACCGTTTTCACCGCTAAAACAACACTCTTGTCAGCGACCACATGTACTGGATCTAACCATGTAGTTCTTCTTTAATTTTTAAAAAGCACGTCGTGCAATCGAGTCGACCAACCGCACACTGCTGAATATGGCCGCACTTGTACACCACCTATAGAGATAATGTTATTGCCAGAGTTGTCACTCTGCGCAAAATTTATTCGCTGCAATCTCTGCCGCTCCGCATTTCCGCATGTCGCATTTAACACTTCGCGAGAATGCTCATACTCCCCACAGAAGTGAAAGACGTTACCGATTTCATTGGCGCCAGTCATTGTATGCGTCTTCCTTGCTCGATAATCGGACTCGACCGTTGGCCGTGTGCAAAATCATCGACGCCGCTACGTTCTCCTTTTGTTTTGTCTGTGACTGGGAACTTAAGATGTCTTAGTACGATCTATGAAACGATATACTTCTGTTTAGCATTCAGACCCAAACTTAAGGATACTAAAATAGCAGCCTTTGCTTAAGTACGCACTCCGAATCCAACAAAAAGGCTTCTCCATCGTCACAACCTGTCGTCTTCTTCACGCCATTCTCGTCATTCTCGCTGCCTTTTTTTCCCCAACAATCTCTGCACCGTATCCTCTATCGTATTCTCTTCCCACTCATACCTAAATCACCTTCTCATTCACCATGGAAAAGCCGCTACTCAATGCTAATGATGACCACGCAGAAGAAGACGACGAATCGCTCTGGAACGAGCTCAAGGACGACCACCGTACGCCGTTATACGGCGAAACAAGTCACCAAGTCTCATCAGTAGGTGGTCAAGCAAGTGCTGCGTCCTCACGAGCCATGCCGCTGCCGTCGCTGCGTGTCAACGTCCACCTTCCAGCCATCTCGACACTCTTCCGTGAGGTGCTGGACACTGCCAAAGCAGCGCTGCCAGGCGCTCAACGTCGAGCTAATGGCGATGAAAAGGCTCCTACTAGTAATCGAGTGTCTCCTGTACCCGATCGCTATGGAAATGTTGCCAATCTGGACGCATTTCTCATCACTTTGTACAATTACTACTACCATAAAGGCTTTTGGAGCATTGTGATAGTAGAACTAGTGAGTTTACTGACAGGATTATTTAGTGTGGTACTTTCAAGCTTCTTGCTTGGTTGTGTGCAGTGGAGGCCGTTGCTGGAGTGCCACAGACACCCAGAGAGTGGAGGCTGTGCTCAGGAGATGGAGCACTACATCACGTGCAGAACAGACAATAACGGACTACTGGGACTTATTGGGGCTTTTTACTTTGCCATGTTTTTCGTGTATTGGATCTCGAGAGCTTTCCAACTAGTGGGAACGCTGAGAGATACTAGACAGATGGAGGTGTTTTACAAAGAACGATTGCATATTGGAGAACGACAAGTACAGACCATTTCGTGGGATGAAGTGGTCACGAGAGTGCTGGATCTAGTAAACGGAGCAAACACAGCCATGAATATGAGGCAGCTGTCGTCTTATAAGCTACAGATCGACCCAGCGTTACTATCGTCGCCGCACGACTTTGCCAGACGTATTATGCGGCGGGACAACTACCTTATTGCTTTCATGAATCACTCGCTATTTCGAAGCAAGAGTTTATTGCCCTCGTCACTGCAGTTTCTTTCAACATCACATATTATGTGCTCGAGGAACATGGAGGCCAATCTGAACATCTGTCTACTCGATCAAATGTTCGACGCCAAGCTAAACTTGGCTCCGTCAGTGATCCACAGCGTAGAGATGCTCAAGAAACGCTTTGTAATTGCGGGTGTGCTCAACTTTGTGCTGGCGCCCTTCATCTTGCTATACCGCCTTTCGCGTTTCTTCTTTTTGGCGGCTCAGGAATGGCAAACAAACCGTGTATACTACTTTGGCACACGTCGCTGGTCAGCGTATGCTATCTGGCGATTCCGAGAGTACAATGAACTCCCGCATGTTCTCGATGCACGCATGGCGCGTTCATACGCGCTGGCAGACCGCTATTTAGGCATGTTTCCTGCCGGATCGTTGGCTATTGTCGCTGGTGGCATCTCCTTCTGTGCGAGCTCGTTAATGGCTGTTCTCGTTCTTGTAAGTCTGCTGGAGGAATCTGTGCTACTGCAAACGACATTGTTTGGCCATGAGCTGTTGTGGTACCTGACCGTATCAACGGGTGTGTTCGCGTTGTCACGATCATTTACGTCTTCGACCTCGCCTTTTTTGGTCAATGGTGACTGTGAAGAAGCTATGATGGAAGTTTTTGCGGAGACGCACTACTTTCCTAAGGAATGGAGAGGCCAGTGTCATTCATTCGAGGTCCGGGACGCGTTCACTGTGTTATTCCCATACAAGGCTGTGCTCTTCGCTGAGGAGTGTGTTTCCGTCTTGTTGGCTCCATATATCTTGTGTGTGTCAATGCCTCAGCTTGCTCGCGAGATTTTGCTTTTCTTGCGCTCCCATTCTCTAGTACACTCTAGTACAGGAGCTGTGTGTCGATTCGCAGAATTCGATTTTAAGGAATATGGTAACGATGCCAAGATGGAAAGCTCATTCGTCAATTTCAAGCAGAACCACCCGAAGTGGGTCGGTGCACGCGAAGGTGAGGTGCTCATGCAACGCCTAGGCAAGCTGAAGGAGGAAGAGATGGAGAAATCGATGCGGATGGGTGACACCATGATGTACAGTGGTCACATGTCGATGTCTCAGCAGCTTATGCAGTCGCAGGCTATTCAAAACGTGTTGAGTGGTGGGCGTATGAGCGGCTACATGCCTCAGGACAATGAGTTCTATTGGTTGGAGAAGGTAGTCTGTATGTGTTGATTTTGGTAATGGCTGGATAAGTGTTCTCACGTCTTCGTGTGATTTGTTGTTTAGCTCCATCAACAAGGTCAGTTGGACGAATTGGATCTGGAGGGCATGAAGGGCGACCCTGCTGATAGTATTTCCATTTCAAGTCTTGGCTCTCCGTGAGTGAGTGAGGTAAATAATATTCACTTGTTGCATTTCAATACATCAAAAAAACTTTTGTCTCATTTCTCCACAGAAAACGGTCTTAGCTCCACCACCACCATGACACACATGAGTTACAAGCATTGAAGCAGTGTGTCGAACAAGCGATAACGAATCGCGGTTGTTGGACCATCAGAATTTCTAGTAGCCGGTGGCAACGACACTGTATAGGACTTGATGCACCAATGGAAAGCGTTGGGAGCGTCCAACAGCGCACCGAGGCGGTTCTTCAATAATGCCTTGGAGTTGGTACTTTTGCTGAGATCACATGGTGGAATGCCGTGAAGAAAGTGTTCCTGTAAAGACAAGTCTAGTCATGTAAGTTCTATTTGACTCATGATTGGGAGCGTTCACTTACCGCATCTTTGCCGTACACAATTAGGTTCAGGGAATCACAACCTTCTTCGACTGTCAAAGCGAAGGTATAAACGGACTCGCCACTTTTCCCAGGCTTGGGCTTGCAGATCTTTTCAACATCCGATGGCCAAATGCTGCGGACACGAGCACAGCAATGAAATTTCCGAGGGGTTTGTCGGGAGTTCATGATCTCTCGCAGCGGAGTCACCGGTACATTGTTTTGGATACGAACGGGGATGACGGTAGTAACCTTGACGGGGCTATCCGAGAGAGATCGTTGGCTTTGACTTGGACGATGTGTCTCAGCTGGGGTAAGCGCACGTGGTTGGACACGGATAACTTTATCAGAGTTAAGCTTGCTCGCTAATGAGAGACGGCATTGCACTTCCGGCATGTACTCAGGCATCATCACAAGTGATGTCACCTCCCGAAACCGAAGGATCTCGTTTCTTGCTAGAGCTATAGTAGCCCCGGTAATGGGCTCATCTTTTCCCACTGCTAGATTGCGGAAGCGACACCAGTGTGTGAGCATTCCGTCGACGAATCCCATATCACGCAGAACAGACCAGCAGGACGACATGATGACTTCTTTCAGAATCCCGTTGGCCGGCACACCAGCGCCTTCTTTCTGTAAGGCACAAACTAGAGTCCGATCTGACTCGGCCATGTTTCCTGAACCGTCCCAAATAATTACTCGAGTTGGCTCTTCGCTGTCATCCAAATGTAAGACGCGTACCACGAGGTCAATAAAACCTTCTGCGGACTTCAGTTCGGTAAGCAGCTTCGGTGCCTGTGAACATCCTTGAGGTAAAGTAGTATCCTCGGCCAAACTCTTCCTAGCCCATTTCCTTTGAGCGTAGCACTACGCGTCAACAAAGTGGATGCACACTATGAAAACAAGACAATCTGAGGAGGAACTTACTGAAGTTGACGCGTACGCTCTACATCTGAAGATTCGAAGGTCCATGTTTTCGAGCATGTTAGCTGCTCGAGTTTTCCGTCATCACTTTCCCGAAGAACAAGGTGCCGTGTTATACGTGGTCTGTCGTATGGCCAAGCGCATAATGAGTGACAGACTGGGTTCGTTTACGAGAATCGGATGTACTTACAGACTGAGGCCTTGAATGTTGCCTTGGTATTCCTGGACTTTGACTTTGTGAAAACGGATGATGTCTCCAATATACTACGATTCAGAACATGGTCAGTCGCAGCAATGACAAGCTGCTGGGTATTTTCAAGACGTTTGCATACCTTGATCTTAGGCATTTGAGCAATGGTAGGGTAGAACACATTGATCTGGATAGCGTCAGCGCGTGTAGAGCAACTTTCATCCGTCACACTCACAGTCATCTGAGCCAAATGTCCAAGTCAGCAGTGAGACTCCACAGCAACCCAGTAGCTCAGCATGTCGGTCTTTCCAATTGTTCAACAGATACTTACGACCATATCACGTCCAGCAGTTTTCTTGGGAAGCGTTATATTAACGACAACGCCGTAAATGTCAGCATGTCCGGATACCAACTCGGCCAAGGGCGAATACCGATACGCGGATGATGTCGTTCTTGCTTCACTAAGCGTGCGTTGTCCACGGTTGAGCTTCTGTTGCACACAAAAACATGATACGATAACTTACTTGCTCACCAGAACGCTTTCGACTGTCATTGCATTCTACCTTGTTCGGTAGTGCCTGAGCTTGAACCACAGTTTGCCAGGTAGGTGTTGCTACATCACAAGCACATCTCATTAGCCACTCTACAATATCCAGGGTTTCCCAATAGTTCTTCGAGCAAACCAGAGTGCAAGTCCCGGGTAGTAATCGTTTTCGATGGAAGGTAGCGCAATTGATCCGAAGTCGGCAAGCGCTGAGGTTCCTCGTACGTCACCTCAATCTTCAAACTATGGGGAAACGTAAACAACTGTGGTTGTCTTTCCAATGCCTTCTTCAAAATATTCCTCTCCGCCACAACAACACACTGCACGCGTTCTTCCGTCTCAGCTCCAGCTTCCCACTGTAACGCTACAACCCCACGTCCACGAATCCAAAGTTTATACTGCAGCATGACAGCAACAACAACAACGACAATAGATTATTTCTCCGAAAGCATTGGATACTTCTAGACCAAAACCATCTTGACACTTGCATGACGTTTCAAAAACTGCATCTTGATCGCCCACTGGTCATAGAAAAACACCACACAAATCTTGAACGTCATGCGTGCTTTATCCCAAAACAACATCAGATAGTTAAGGAGAACTTGTAGTCACATGAAAAAAAGATGAAGAACGAATGGTCAATTGTAGCACAACTAGATCAACTAACTATTTGTAGCAAAGAAGGATATGGTTTTCCACTACGACAGCCGTCAATTCTGATGCGTCCCGTCCGCATGGCCCCACGCCAGGACCAAATGTGCCCAATTCTCCGCCACCTAAAGAGGTAGTACCACATGTCCGATGTAGTAACTGTAATGGATACGCACGCTTTACGGTGCCACTAACGACACGTTCGTCACCAATCAGGTCCATCACTATAACGGTACTGTAGACAATAGAAAAACGTCCTATGATGAAATGAGACGATGTTGGTACAACACAATAGGACACGATTGTCGAAAGAGGACACCAGTTCTGAAATGGACAATTGGAAGACGTTTTCTTACTTTATCATGTATAAAGACATTACAAAGTGAATGATCTAACGACGACGACGTTCCTCGTACTCTGCCTGAATCTCTTCGTTCGTCTTGCCCGCAGTCTCTGGCACGAGCTTGAGTGAGATGAGGTAGAAGATAATGAGCAACGCCGTGAACGGCGCGTAACTCCAATCGCCGAGCCCATCAGCCAAATACGGGTACCCAATGCCGACGACGAGATTGCACAACCAATTGACACCAATGCAGACAGACGAAGCACTCGCACGTATCGAGTCGGGAAATATGTCGGCTGTCATGGCCCACACGATCGGACCAAGCGTGACGCCAAACACCACGACGTAAAGCGCCGTGAAGACGATGGAAAGCGCAGACACATTCACGAGGAAAGCCACGGTCATACCGATAGACATGATGATCATACCCATGATACCCCAGAGGATCATGTTGCGATTGCCGAAGCGCGATACCAGCACGCTTGCAAATAAGGCCGGCCAAATGTTGATGGCGTCAATGACAAGCGTTCCAATACGCGAGTCCGAGATGCCGGCGTCCGCGAAGATACTTCCAGAGTAGTAGAACACGGCGTTGATACCTGACAGCTGCTGCGTGCAAGACAGCAGGAGTGCGCTGCAGAACTGCAAGCGGTACTTGGACGACCAGACCGACTCGGTCGGCGCCACGCTGCTAGAGTATCCGGCCTCGGAAACACTTGACTGCTTCTTGGGCTCGAGCCAGTTGAGTGCCGTCTGCACGTGCTCTTCGCCATACAGACGTGTAATGACCTGTCTGGCCTCCTCACGACGGCCTTTCATCAGAAGCCACGCGGGACTCTCCACGGCCAGCTTGGGCGATAGGAGGATGAAGATGCCGCCCAGTACAACAGGGAAGCCGGCTATAAAGCGCCATGAGTCTCCATTGTCGGCAAAGAAGAAGCAAATGGGAGGCAACAAGATGCCAATAGTGGTGGCAATCTGCAGTCCCATACCAAGGGAGCTACGGAGATGGGGCGGTGATAGCTCACTTACATAGGAACCAATGGTGCCAGTGGCGACACCTGAAGAGATTCCAGCGATTCCGCGACCGGCGGCAAATATCCAAATGGTAGGAGACACGGCCTGAATGATGGCACCACCAATCATGAAGATACAGTTGAGCAGAATGAGCTTCTTGCGGCCGAGCATGTCGCTAAAGTAGCCACAAAGCAGACTACCGACCATAGCGCCAAAGATCCACGAGTTTACGGCAAAAATCCACTCGAGTTTCGTGTGGCCGCTAAACAACGTACACGTGCCCGGTACGACGGGACGCGCATTACACTCGGCAGTGTTGTTATAGGAGGAGAGATTGAGCTGTGATGTCGACCATCCGCTCTGAAAGGGCTGCAACAATGCAAGAAACACGCTCGTATAGAGGATGCGGTTGGGCTTGATCCGAGCTGCAGCGGCTTTGTTAATATCGTCGTAGGCGACCTCAGCACTGGGCGTCGAAGTCTTGTCGTAAATCTCGACGGGAGCAGGCGCCATGACTGATGGGAATGATAACGGAAGCTGTGATCGATTTGACTTGTGCTGAGTGTGCTTAATTTAGAATGGAAGGACGAAGCAAAGACATGAATGAAGATGATGGATCACCTGCAGAATTCGATATCGTTGCTGTCGAGTTGATTTGCAGTCCCTGGTCTCCGAGAGGAGGTTGGTAGCAGCCTGCACCATCATTCCAGTGCTCAGACGGCAGTTCTCCGTCTATACGTGTCCGAATGCAAATTAACCTACTCGCCTCGAAGGTTCAAGCTGGTAAAAACTGATCCATTTTTTATAGATCAAGCTCAGCATAGATGCCAGCAGTTGTTAACAACGGCTAGTTGCAAACTTCACGCCAGCTGTGCTGTCCAGACCAGCGTAGGCTAAATTTTAGAACGTTATGAAAAGATCGAAGGAACAATGGGCCAATATTTGGCAAAAGGAGCTGGATCTATAGGATCAGATAAACAACAATGATACAGTAGTATCGAGAGAGAGTTTTATAGGTGAGCTGGCAAGCAACAACAGAATCAACATGCGACGATAATATGACACCATGTTTCGAATTCTGTAGTCGTAGTTGCAATTTGCTTATAATGAAGCCAATCCCAGGAGGTGCTTCTTACCTCTTTTTAGATAATCAAGTTACTTGTGCATACTGTACGGATTGATGTGAAGGGTCCAGGTACATACAACACTTTCCGTAGAATCCCTTCTGTACTGCAAAGCTTTGCGCTAATGTGACGCAAGCTTCAGTGCAACAAGTACGTACATACAAGAATTGTTCCCGCTTAGAAAACGGCCAAGTATCAGATTCGAGGTGATGACATTAGGTCCAGATTACCGCTGACGCCGTAAGAAAGTTGATGTCGGTTTTGCCCCTAAGGCTTCGTGTGCTTTCGAAGCTAGTACAGGTGTACATGTAATCAAAAAAGTGTTGCCTGGATACCGAAGCTTCGTCATGTTCGGCTTTGCGACATCCGTATGAAATGACACCAAGTACCCGTACACTCTTTTCATTCTCAATGTGATAGCTAATCAATGTTGAAGCTGAAGCGATCATCATACAACCACCCACGACATTGACGGGCACCTTAACGATAGAGTAGTGCACTACAGCTCAAAGATTCTCAAAATTCTTGTACTTCAACCTTCAGACCAGTCCGCCATCACCCAAAGCCTCCTCTATGTGAGAATAAATTTTAACCAAGAGTCCAGTGGTGATCCACGGCCGAACGCCTGCTAGCCAACCGAAACAGGAATCGAATGGCTTCGTTGTGTACAAGTTCGTGCAAAGAGATGGAAACTGCAAAGATCGAGCACAGAAAACGGTTCCGAGACGTCCAATCTGATACAAACGTCGTACTTCCTTCCGTAGCTATAGACCCCAAGCACCAATGCATCAGAATAAAGGGGTAGCGACCGTTCCAGCATCAACGACAGCAAGTTCAACACTAAAGCAGACCACTCATGTCTTTGCTTCGTCCTTCCATTCTAAATTAAGCACACTCAGCACAAGTCAAATCGATCACAGCTTCCGTTATCATTCCCATCAGTCATGGCGCCTGCTCCCGTCGAGATTTACGACAAGACTTCGACGCCCAGTGCTGAGGTCGCCTACGACGATATTAACAAAGCCGCTGCAGCTCGGATCAAGCCCAACCGCATCCTCTATACGAGCGTGTTTCTTGCATTGTTGCAGCCCTTTCAGAGCGGATGGTCGACATCACAGCTCAATCTCTCCTCCTATAACAACACTGCCGAGTGTAATGCGCGTCCCGTCGTACCGGGCACGTGTACGTTGTTTAGCGGCCACACGAAACTCGAGTGGATTTTTGCCGTAAACTCGTGGATCTTTGGCGCTATGGTCGGTAGTCTGCTTTGTGGCTACTTTAGCGACATGCTCGGCCGCAAGAAGCTCATTCTGCTCAACTGTATCTTCATGATTGGTGGTGCCATCATTCAGGCCGTGTCTCCTACCATTTGGATATTTGCCGCCGGTCGCGGGATCGCAGGAATCTCTTCAGGTGTCGCCACTGGCACCATCGGTTCCTATGTAAGTGAGCTATCACCGCCCCATCTCCGTAGCTCCCTTGGTATGGGACTGCAGATTGCCACCACTATTGGCATCTTGTTGCCTCCCATTTGCTTCTTCTTTGCCGACAATGGAGACTCATGGCGCTTTATAGCCGGCTTCCCTGTTGTACTGGGCGGCATCTTCATCCTCCTATCGCCCAAGCTGGCCGTGGAGAGTCCCGCGTGGCTTCTCATGAAAGGCCGTCGTGAGGAGGCCAGACAGGTCATTACACGTCTGTATGGCGAGGAGCACGTGCAGACGGCACTCAACTGGCTCGAGCCCAAGAAGCAGTCAAGTGTTTCCGAGGCCGGATACTCTAGCAGCGTGGCGCCGACCGAGTCGGTCTGGTCGTCCAAGTACCGCTTGCAGTTCTGCAGCGCACTCCTGCTGTCTTGCACGCAGCAGCTGTCAGGTATCAACGCCGTGTTCTACTACTCTGGAAGTATCTTCGCGGACGCCGGCATCTCGGACTCGCGTATTGGAACGCTTGTCATTGACGCCATCAACATTTGGCCGGCCTTATTTGCAAGCGTGCTGGTATCGCGCTTCGGCAATCGCAACATGATCCTCTGGGGTATCATGGGTATGATCATCATGTCTATCGGTATGACCGTGGCTTTCCTCGTGAATGTGTCTGCGCTTTCCATCGTCTTCACGGCGCTTTACGTCGTGGTGTTTGGCGTCACGCTTGGTCCGATCGTGTGGGCCATGACAGCCGACATATTTCCCGACTCGATACGTGCGAGTGCTTCGTCTGTCTGCATTGGTGTCAATTGGTTGTGCAATCTCGTCGTCGGCATTGGGTACCCGTATTTGGCTGATGGGCTCGGCGATTGGAGTTACGCGCCGTTCACGGCGTTGCTCATTATCTTCTACCTCATCTCACTCAAGCTCGTGCCAGAGACTGCGGGCAAGACGAACGAAGAGATTCAGGCAGAGTACGAGGAACGTCGTCGTCGCTAGATTGTCTCGGATGTCAAATTCTTTGTCGAGGCAGATGCAAGTTCTTAAAAATACCATGTTAGTTTTCCTATTGAGTAGTGGTTTGTAGGAATGGCTTGAACAGTTCCAGTATGTGCATAAGTTCACGTTCTTGGCTTGGCTCTGATAGAAGTTGAAGCAAATACGAGGAACCGGAAAGCTGTCGTACTATCTGCGTAGCCGTCTTTACTAGTTGTGTCTTGTGAGTTTCCTGGCACTGTCGAACGTACTCGAGGAGTTGATAAAGTACTTGAAGTAAACAACGAAAACCACTTGCAGCGATTGTTCCTTTGGGAAGAGCCACGAAGAGAGTGAGCAAATTGTCTTGGAGCGTGTTGAATCTTTCTAGCAGATAACGGGCAAACAAGTTAACATCCTCGCATAACGTGGCTGCGTGTTGATTGATTGCAACAAGAACCGCGCGCTTCGCTTCGCTCGAAAAGGCATCGAGCGCTGTGCTCACCAAGATCTGAACAGCTGCTTCAAGGTGTGCACAATAGCCGTGTCGGCTGATTTCTTCCAGCACCAGCGACAGGCTGCGCGTTTGCAGGCTTGAGTACGGATCAAAATAGCTTGAAATAGCTGTACGAACCTTTCCAAGTAGTACATCACGTATCTGATACAGGATCGGGCCATCAACGTTCTCACCTTTTCGGCTTCCGTCCCCTAATTCAGCTAGGTGCTGATGCAAAATTCGAAACCAAGCAAAATCGTCAAGCGACCAGGATTTACCCAGCTGTGTCTGTTCGTCTGCCACTGCCAGTGGATCCCAATGGAGCATTTCTGCTTGCACGTATGGGGCAAGAAGTTTTTCTTGCGCTAATTCGCAGTACACGTCCCTGTACACTTGAGGGAACTTTGCCTTCCACTCCTGAAATCGTCTATACACACGCTCGAGCGAGTTGATTTCATTAATTGCATCAGCAAACAAATCTTCCTCTGTATGATGCGGATCGGCTACGTAGGACTCGGTAAAATGCGATTGATACTTCTGCATACGAGAAGTATCAGAGTCGTGAACAGATGACACATCGGTATCGTCTCCACTAGAGTGCAGGTTCAACTGATTCAGGCCAACAATATCGGCTTGCTGTAGTTTCCCAGAGCTTAGATAATATTGCACCTCCTGGGCGATGCCATGCTGCTCTTCTTGTTGCTTGTCTTTTACCCGTCGAGCACGATCGTCGAATATTTTCTCCTCCATTGCTGTAATGACCCGGACTTTTGCACGTAAACAAAAGCTCAAGCCTTTTACAAAATCTTCCACCTCTTGGAAAAACTCAAACTCTTCACTGCTAGTAAGGAGCTCTTCTTGTTGCTGTTTCAACGCCGTCTCCATTAAAGCAGTCTCGGCTTCAATCCGAGCTAGCTCGCGCAACGCAAGTTGGTCTTCAAGCGATGTCAACTCGACACTCTTTTCCAATTTTCCAAGTACATTTCCTAGCGACACACATGTCACTTTCTTTCTTGTCGGATAGGTCGGCAGTCCATCGCGCGCCAGCCTGCCGTTCGTCTCCGAGGGCTGCTGCACACGATGTCCACCACGGCGCATGAGTTCTTCCTCCCATCTTCTATTTTGTTCCTCCTCTTCGTCTCCTCCATCCGAAATAATCTCCTCTATCACTTCAACCTTCTTGGAGATGCCCAGACACTCCAAATGTACTCCAAAATTCACCCGGTTCGTCGTGCGTCGTCCCATTTTCATCTTCTCTTCCCCATCCAGCGCAATAAACTCCTCTTCTTCCTCCTCCTCTTCTTCTACCACCAATTTCTTCACATCTTCATCCTCTCCTTTTTCTACCTGAATCACCTCTTTGTTACTCGACAGCAGCACACTCTGCTCACTCCTCAAAGCTGCCAACATCTCGACCGAGTAACGTCCATGAGATTCTACCTCTACATCCACTTTTACATCATTAGAAGCCACGATATTCGGTCGTATCTTTCTCTTCTTTGTCTTTTTTTCGTTATCATCAAAACTCAAGAGCAGGCCCGTCTCTTCCAGCTGCAAACCCGTAGTAATAGCATCGATTTTACTTGATCTAATGCTTCTACGCTTCGAGTTGAACGTCATAGCACCCTTAACAGCTCGAGAGCGACTGCGACGTAATTGGTCCAGCACATAAAGGTCGTTCTCGGTCGTTTCCGAAGCGTTGGACACCGGAATTTCAGCCGAGGACGTAGCATTAACATTTCCAGATACAGCAACTTCAATACTATCGCTTTTAAGTTCCACCTCGCGACGTTTACGGCCGCCATCTTTCTTCGTCTTGCTCCGGAACATACCACGTCTTTAATCGCTTCAATTGTAAGTTTGTCTATAAGAGCATAAGAGCAGAATACCGTACCCCTGTCGAATATGATATCATGTACCCATATTCATTTCAACCATCACCGTGATTCTCCGATCTTAACAAGTATCAGCTCGATGGTCATGGACTCTTTCAAGAGCCTGTTTTTTAGCGCCGATGGCTCGTCAAGACCCAAGGTATATCTACTCTAATGCTCTCGTGTCTTCTCTATCTAACTGTACTTTCTTCTAGGCCGTCAAGTGGCTGGGTATGAGCAAACATACGGCCGGCAAGAGCGACCAAATGTTCATTAGCCATGAAGCCGCGGAGCACGTTCTAAAGCCTCTAGGCGAGACGCCAATTAATCTCATTTCAATCTTTGGAGCTGCTAGACAAGGCAAATCCTTTCTCATGAATCTATTGGCTGATCAACAGGATTTATTCAAGATCTCGAATCTTCGTGAACCTTGCACCCAAGGCGTGGACTTGTCGGGTCATTTGGTGCCTCTCAGTAGCTTTAGTGGATTTAATGGATGTCCACCTATTATTACTAAAGCTGGTAAAGATATCCACATTGGATTTGTGGATGCTGAAGGACAGGGAGACCGAGATATCACGTACGACTCGAGACTTGTGTCGCCCGTGCTGCTTGCGTCCAAAGTTGTGATTTTCAATTGGAAAGACAGTCTACAGGCGGACCGTATGTTGAACTTGTTGGCGGTGCTGGCACGTGCAGCTCAGGGCATTGAACTGCCGGATGGAGCGAACACGAAAGTGTTTGGACATTTGCATTTGTACGTGGATGGGTTACGGGTTTGGAAGGAAGGGGAAAAGTTGAGCTTATTGTATGCTCTGTTTGTGGTGTGTTGTATAGGGTGTTTCGAGATTGGAGTTTTGTCGACTCGACGCCGGAAGAAGTGTATCGAGATCTGTTCCAGAAGGAAAAAGGGCGGAGTGAGGAAGTTAACGTGCGCAATCTAGCTCGCGTGAACTTGGTGGAGGCCTTTGAGTCAATCAACATTTGGCTGTTCCCGGCTCCTGTGGCGAATACGGCGAATCTGAGCGATAAGATTCGCTTTGATCAGCTGCAGAAACCGTTTCAGAACAAGTTGCGTGAACTGCGCAAGTGCCTGTCAGGTCAGCTGCAGCACCCCACGAAGTTCTACCAGCGACCCTTGACGGCGAAGTATCTATCGCAGATTATGCCGGCGTTAGTAGATACGCTGAACAGCGATCAAGTGATTATGCCCGAGTCGATATATTCGTCGATGGTACGTGCAGAGGCTCAAGCTGCACAGCAAAGCTGTGAGAAGGATATTTCATCGTACTGTGAAGCTGCTGGGCTCGAAGAGATTATCTCTAGTGATGAGTTTGATAAAATGCTGCACAAGGATGTCGAGATTATTATTGAGGAAGCGTATGAAAAAATGCGCACCTTTCCGATTGCAATACGCAAAGAGATTCAAATGTCTCTTCGTGCCTTCGCCGAAAAGGAGATTACCATTGCACTTCATGCAAACAGCGATAAGGTTACGGCGCTTCTTTCCAAGCAAGTGGATGCTGCCTATCAAACATTGAAACGAGAGTGCCAAGTTATTGAGAAAACCAAGCTTCCGATGAAGAGCGCACTACTACGGCAGGAATGTACGGAGTTGCTCAAGCGTGAACTGGCACGTATCAAAGCACTTCCTTTAGGTTTACAGGGAACGCGTGGAGTAGAGATTGAATGTAGCCGCGTGCAGCAGAATGCCAGCCTTATCTTTGACAAGTTGGAGGTGGCAAACGACAAGGCTATTCAGCAATCTACCGCGGCGCTGAATGATGTAGTGCGTGCAGCAAAAGCGCGGATGAGCTCCGAGTTGCACGACAACCTTGATAAACGATTTGCAGAAAAGCATCCCGTGACGGTGACGAAGCTGCAAGGCGATGTGGAGATTCTGTTTTCCAAGGTAATGAGAGAAGTGATGCAGCAAGCTAGCTATGTAAACGAATCTGGCAGCTCAGACTTCCGTTCTGATCTTGAGCACCACAAGGCTCTGCTAGCGGACGAGATGAATCGACGCTACATGATAGAAATGCGCCAGATTCTGAACGAAGTTAGCTACGCGGCTCGAGAGAACTTGGGGAAGCAAGTTACGTACCGTCTAGATGGGAAGTTACCGATGCTGGAGGAAGAGATTAAGGCTGCCATTGATAGTGCGGTGGCGCACGTTAAAAGCAACATGGCCGACAAGCTTCACGGGTGGACGATTCTGAAAGGCGACCTTGAGGCAAAGAGCTTGGACCTGGAGAAGCTTGGGGATGATGTAGGTGAAAAAACTCGACTGAGTTGAAGTGATTGTTTCTTCTGACGAGTCGTGTTGATGCTTTTTATGATAGTTGGCGGACCAATTCCTGTACCGCAACCAGCAACTGGAGAAAGACGCAGGCGTACGCAAGGAAACGGAGCGCTACGAGAAATTGAGAGTGGACGTGACAAAGGCGTTCGAGAGGAAGCTTAAGGATGCGGGTTCTCCAACAACTGAAGACGAAATCGATTCTGTGTTTCACCTCGTGTTGCAAGATCATGCTGCCAAGTTTTTGTCAAGTATGGTGGGTCGCGAGACAACCAAGTTCACTGCAAAGAGCCTGCGTGAGATTCTTACAAGCGATTGCAAACCAGCTGTGGACAACCAGAAGATGCTTAACCAGTGTGTGGCTTGTTCAGCTTTCTTCTACTCGGACTATGTTCTAACTTGGATCGGATGATTGTTCGTCTGTTCTTAGACTTGCTATTGAAAAGAAAGAAGCGTTGGCTGTAGCAGAAAAGGAAAGGCGTATGCGCGAGCGCGAGCGTCTCGCTGCAGAACAGAAAGAGGCAGAGATCAATCGTCTCAAAAGCGACCACTCGAAGTGGCTTGGTGAAAGGGATAACGAGTCAAAACAGCTTCGTGACAAGCTGCAAGTAGAGGAGCGCAAAGCACGTGAGCTGCAGCAGCGTGTGGAAGAAATGAAACTACAGTCAGCACAGATGGAAAGACAGAAACAAGATGAGCAAATCAAGTCGATGGAGAAGGCCCGTCGCGAAACGATGGTGAAAGAGGAAGAGGCCACGCGACTGAAGCATGAGCTAGATGAAATGAAGCGGAAGGCTGCGGACGTGGAGGTTCAAAAGCGTCAGCTTGAAGTTCAAGTTATGTCTGAGGCAAAGAAGAGGGATGAAGGTGAAGAGCTAAAACGCCAGCTCGAGGAGATGAAGTACACGATCGCGCAAAAAGAGCAAGAACGCGCAACCATGGAGCTGCAGATTCAGCAAGAGCAGGCATCACGTAAGCAAGCGGAACTCGCTGCATACCAAGCAGCGAATGCAGCAGAAGTTGCAGCCCGAGCCGCAATTGAAGCTGGTCGTCACCAAGCAGCCTCAGCCCCAGCGAAACCGGAGAAAATCGGATGTAAGAGACCATTAGAAAGAAGTGCGTCAGACGACGTTGAGATGGAAGACGTGTCTCATCCGCGAACGCGCACCTCTGGCCGTGCCACCGGTGAGTTTTTCGCGTCTAAGTTCAGGTATCTAATGCTTTGCTGATTGCGTGTCATTCTTGTTTGCAGCCACCATGTCATCGCCAGTTGCCAAAAAGCCACGCGGACCGAACAAGGCGAGAATAGTTCGCGTCACGGGAGGTAAGCAAAAAATGTCACTTGCTGAGGCGCGCAAGGCTGCTCAGGAAGATGTTGAGAAACGGATCCAGGAGCGCGCCAAGCTGCTTTCAGCGTCAAAGAAGAAGAAATAAAGCAGCTTCGTCTAGAACGGCATCAGGTGCAATCCAATCAAAACTTCATCAATTTTCCTGGTAAGAGTCTTTGTCTACTCGAGTATGCAATTTCATGAGTGCAGTGGTGTCCCGCAGGTTGAAGTGACACGAACACTATGGTGTAACTGGTCGACCAATTGAATCAGATAGTGCTCCTGCTTCACATGTCACCACAGATTTGGTCCGCATTGTAGCATTGGGTTGAAGGCTATTGTTGACGGCCGCTTGCCTGATGATGGCAGACACCAAGAAATGGTCAATTGCGTGGCGACCTCAACCACGGTCGAAGACAGGCTTACATTTCGGCGACTCAGCACTTCGTACTGACGCCTATAGCGCCGTAGTCTCTTGACGCGACACAAAGCGAGCTCTCATCTCATCGGACGTGGTACTTCCTAAGCTACAGATATCTCTGTGGCGTAGCTGGATGTCAAGTTCCAAACCGGCCGTGTACCATCAATCCAGCCACCATCAAGCGTTCTTTTACGCCGCCGGCTCAACAAAAGCACAAACATGCCCGCCGTTCTCTTTGGTGCCGCATGGTAGATGCAATTGGCACACCGCCAAAACAAACCAAACATCAATCCGTTCAGCGTCTCGATATGCAGCATGAACCACGGGCTCTGCACGAACGCATAGGTGATCGGTTCATCCGATTGCCGTATCAGCCTTACGAACATGTAAATGGCTGTCCCGACGCGTTTGATACTTTTGTTTGCGTGGATGAAGAAGAACAGCTTCGAGATGTCTCGATGTGATGACCGCGCTAACGGTAGCCTGACATCTTGACAAATGTTTGTATGATGTTGAAGCAGAAGCTCATGAACCGATATGATGCACGAAGCCCTCAGGTAAATTCCATTTGGTCACTTAACAGCCGACGTTGAAGCGATACTTCACGGCATCAGTTGATCGACATCAAGGAAAGTGTGGTTGTAATTTGCATGACATGTTCCTTTCTTCGAGTGGATTATCATGTCAGTGCGAAGTTCCTGCCCATTCGAAGACATGAATTTGTAGCAGAGGGTGCTCACTACAGCACATACAACCACCTTTACTTCGTCTACCAAGTTTTCATCGTCAGCAATCCCAGAAGAAAAGAGTTTTGCTGAATGAGTATCACCTCGATTCCCGTGACTTCGAGTATCAACCGCTGAATAAGAAGCAGGTGCAGCAATCGGCAGTGGCTATCGAATGACGCAGTGCCTCTCGCTTGTCTGTCATCACAAAAGGGCATTTGTCAAGTGTGTCTGCACTGAGATGGTATTTGCAACGCGAGCAAACGGAAAAGCCGCAAAGGAAGGGGTTAAGCACGATGAAGAAGATGGCACGGATTCGTGCCCGGTCCTTGGCGAGGAAGAAATACCCACCAGTGACGTCCAATCTCATCGAATCCGGGACGTGCGGCGTATCGATAACGGTGTGCTTATCCCGAAGCGAAGCCTAGCGCAGCGGATTCGTAGCTACAAGAACCGGTTTGTTCAACGGGCACTCGTGGCATGTCACCTAGCCGATCCATCGAAAGACCTGATGTTCAAGCAGGAGCAGACAAGCAACAATGTAACCATCGAGAGACTTAGAACGATACGCAGCAGCCTCGTTGCCCACTCGCAGAGCATTGTCCGTAAGTATGAATGATGTCTGCTGGCTGGCTAGCTATTGACGAATAATTGTGTTGTGTGATGCCGATTCCAGGCTTGTCGACTGCTATTTGTTGCTTCACTGGTAACTCAGCACGTGTTCACGAAGACGCACATAAAGCACAGGTCGACGTTGCGAAAGAAGGGTACAGGATTTATGAATGCTCACTTGTCTTCAGCGTAAGTCATTTGTCTAGTCTTCTCATAGCAATGAGTAGTCTGTCGTAACTTGATGCACATTGTTTTGCGACAATAGGATCAAGTAGAAGAGACCATTCTTACGAAGATTGACAACCGACTTGCCGAGCTTGAGCGCATTCATTTTCTAATCGAGGAGCGTGCGAAGCTTGTACTCGACGTCGAATACGCCAAACGGACGGTGAGTGCGATGCATATCTAGTGGCAAACTGCAAAATATTGACGCAAGGTTCTCGATGGCAGTTGGTCGTGGAGCAACAAAAAGGGAATATCAACAGTATTGCCGACCGCAAGCAAGCGGTACGTCTGGATCACGATGTCATGCACTTCATGTCTTCTAACTCGACGCTCTTACAACAGCTTGAACATGCCCAACTCGAGTGCGAGCGGGCGACACGATCCATCACGGAGCAGCTGAAATCCGATCGTCCCAATCAAGATACTGACGTGTCCAAGCTCTTCCAAGAGGTACTCATGACCATTTTCAACTTTGAGCGTTGCAGATGCATCCTTTCATGACACTGTTTGTTGTATGATTCTTGTACGTGGAGCAGTACACGCGACTCGTAGCAGAGTTTTTCGAGCGTGGTGTTGACTTACTTGACGGCGCCAAATGACGGACAAACTTGTCACCTCCTGCAAGAGAGAGAGAGTTGCACCAAGCTGCAACAACGTTATCGCTGATAGCATTGAATCGTCCAAAGCTAATATAGATGCGCTTTGAGAGCGTGCTTTTGCGTCCTCATCCTCGCCTCCTCAGGTGGTAGGTGCGTTTTCCCATGATATGACCATCGAGCTTATCGAGCGTTGCGTTTCGTTGGCAGCATGTTGCACTGACTACGAAGCACATTGACGGTCATTAGCTCCAGCTATTCTTCGGCACACAGATCGACACGGAGAGTTTGCAGCCGAGGAGATGCACGAATGGGGATATGACTAAGCAAGCCATTGACGCATGAACTGCTACATCTCCGTCGGCTGTCCGAGATTATGCTCGAGAAAGAGATAAAGCGCACGTCGTGCCCATCCAAGAAAAGACTGGAGCAAGCCATACTCCATGTTGATCATGGTCGAGAAGTCGTACCGTGTCAAGATCGCGGAGGACATCAGGAGTAGTTAATCGCTTCCTGGGGCAGTCGCGCGTAGATGCGCAAACGTTGCCCCGGCGGTAAGCTGCTGTCGGCTTCATTGATGAAACTGTGCCTGTATCGCTTGGAATTGTTGTGGAGAAGACTAACTGGTCATGAATGTGTTTTAATTCTCCATGTTCGAGATGTCCTCACTACACGCTCTAGGACGACCAAGGTTGTGTGCCGTGTTTCTAGGTTCCGACGTGCCAAGGGTTCATGCGCTCAGCCTGCTAACACAACGCGGTTCTCAAACGAAGTATAGCCACAAGTGCGGTGATGGGGTGTATGCAGTGGTTGCTCGGATATGAAGACCCTCGTATCAAAGTGAGAGCAAGAGACTTGGGCCTGTGCAGTCAATGCCGCACGATTAGTACTGCTTGTCCTGGAACAGCGGCTCCAATCAATGTGTCGTTCACAAACTATGACAGTCGTCAAAGCTTGCCGAGCTTATCGAGCTCGTTCAACAGCGACAGCTTGAAGGTTCGCAATGTTTCTATCACTGGTAGCACAACAAACGTATTGGAGTCATCTTGTGAAATCGCTCATCAAAGGAGGCGAAATGACCGACCGCATGCTCAATTCTGCGAACGCGATCAATCGAGGTGGCACAGCACGTGAAGAAAGACTTTGACACAATGTCCAAGTTCTCCGGATTCAGTGAGGTCGACTGGACTGACAAAGGGATCCCCAAGGACGATTGTCTGTCAATGCAGAGCTCTCGATGCAGGAATTGCTATACACCGCCTACACGACACTCTGCCAGGTCTGCACAGCTGTCCGTGTAAGCGTAATCACGTATGCTTTAATCTAAATGATCGTCCAGAAAGGTTAATCCAACCAGACGAAATCTAGCGTTGCGTCTAGTAGCATATAGAAAAATAGACAAGTACAGAGCCCAATGAAAGTGCAGAATGTCTGTGTGCACATGCATGGACAGCGTTAGTAAGAAAGAAACACTTCCAAGATGAACTGACCAGCATGTTTTTTTTCCAGCAACGACACGATCTCGTGCGTTCAATAGCTCAAATTGTGACTCCAGTACAAGCGACAAAGACCTCGTCCTCTCTTTTCTTCTTGTATTACTGCTTCTCCTCCTCCTCCTCCTCTTCATCTCCTCCTCCTCCTCATTTCCTCCTCTCTCTCTTTAAAGTTCGTCTTCCTCATCGTCTACACCGGCGTAAAACTTGTCGAGCGTCTGCTCCATTGAATTCACAAATGGCGCTGGAGTGCGCAAGGTCTGTCCGTGTTCCAATAGCTTTACCAAATGGACCTTTTGTTTCCACTGCATGAGTGTCTCCTCTAGCTCCATATTGGCCTTCGTAATGAGCATATCCACCACACGAGGGTCCTTGACAGCCGCATGCTGTCGGAAGAGCGCCTGTACTGCTAGACGCGCCTCGGCTGGTTCCATTGGAATGTCATAGAGCGTCAATACACGTGGGACCTGCTTGGTGATGTAGCGATACAACGTTACGGCCGGACTGGAAGCAGACGCTGCCTTCTCCGTCGCCACACGTAGAGCCATTTTTAAGTCGAGATACTACAGGAATTAGTGTACGGCTTGCAACGATTTGAGCCCCAAAGGGAGCCGAATACTTTATTCGTAGGGATTTATATAAATTTTACTGTGAAGTGTTTAAATCTGACCATCATTCTGGAATCTGTGGAATCAGATAGGATCGCAGAATGTATATATTTCAATATTAGATTGTACAGGCTACAAGTCCATGGCGTCACGTTTCGTCGCATAGTAGGTACACATGTGGTGGTACCGACGCTTGAAGCCAACGGTTTTTTCTGTGGTGCGTGGCCACTCGTCGTCTTTTTGCATCTTAGTCGAATGGTTCTGCTCTCACTCTTTCTAATGAGATTGTTCAAGTCCAGGACATTGTCAACGTTGCAGTCTTTTGCAACCATGACATCTCCTTTCCAATACAGTTGGATCGGGGCGGAATAGTTTGCATTGCAGATGATGTAGTCTCTGCACTTGAGATGGGAAAAAAAGCACTTGCGTGAGGATGTTTTGGTCACTACGTACTTGTACAAGCGCTCGCGCTTGCGTTAGTGCGATGATTGATATTGACAAGCGAAGTAGCACTCAGTAGACCCTTATAAACTTCTTGCACTATCAACCAAGTCTTGTGCATTTCACGCCTCAACGATGGTGAAAAAGCCACATCATCCGTTTAGTGGAGCGTGAAAAGTCGTATCGGTGCATTGCCAAGCAACAGACACTTCACGACTTTGCCAACACTATTGGGGAGACGTATCTACATGGTCGCAACAAAAATGCTGCCATCGTGTTTGAATGCAACGAGCTTAAGCGTTTGAGGCCAAGAGCACCTGTTTGACTCCTCGTGTGCATTGTTGGTGTAAAACTGCAGTGCAGCCATTTCCGCACTCACTCAACGTCGAGTAGTACGCCCATCCATTCATCAGTACGCTATAACGTACCACGGGTTCAGCAATGACGTCGCTCTGTAGTGAGTTTCTTGCCACCGACACGAGCGTCCTCAAGTCATGTATGTGCCTCGTGACTCGCGTTAGCTCACATTTCAATCCCAGGTTTCAAGCCACCACTATGGACGTCTTGAGACTTGCATATACTACACACAAAGGCTTGCAAATGGCCAGCTCTACGGCATGAATACATACCTACTCTTAGCATTCAAACTCACCAGCTGGCTGTTTGTCGCCGTTACGTGTTGACTCGTCGTCGCCCTCACCCTGTTAATGTAAATATCTGTGAATCCTCATATATCTCTATAACATGATATCCTGTCTCGGTCAGTTTAACTATAACGTCCCTCTCATTTCTCAATCTCTTTTATAACCACATATATCGTTCTACCTTACAATACATTTATTTTCACAGTATCCGTGTCCACACGACGCTGCAAATCGGCTACAGTGCATCAGGACTTACTCAGTCTCTCTCTCGCTCTGTAGAGCTTCAGTCGTGTTTCCTCGCTCTCTCTCTTTCTCTCTCTCTCCAAATGTTTCGCAGGAATAACAATTCCATTGGAGGTAAAAATATCACGGGGTCTTCAACTGGTTCAGGTTCACGGGCTTTTGCCGACCAAGTGGCTCGACAGTATGAAGTACCACGTGCTATGACCAAGGAACGTGTCAAGGAACTCGCTACTATCGGTGAACTTCGTGCGAATCAACTCATTCGTTGGGTAACGGATGATGACCAAGGCATTGCTGGTTCAGTTGCTGCTAGTGCCATTTTACGTCAACAAAAGGAAAACTTTACAGTCTACGAAATGCACGACGATCAGGACGACCTGTTGGTCATGAAAGGTGTTGTCCGGTTACAAAACACTACGTGTGACGAAGTCTTGGCTTTACTCTCGGGTCGTACAGCCGTTGAGGTTGATGCCTTCCTGCAGGATCTACTCGGTGCACAATATGCAGCTGGACAAGCGCTGCACTATACCGAGGTCAGCACGGACGCAGGCAATGCGCCCGAACCGACGCCAGAACCCTTTACGCTGCGGACCCCACGTGGGTCCAAGCCTAAACAGTCATCGCTTATGGTGCAATGGATGGCACTGAATGATGTGCATCCGCAGGCACCACTCCGGGAATTCTTCTTTATGCGCTTTAACCAGAGTTTTAGCAACGGGAACGGCGGGAACAATTTGCTTGGAGGTGGTGCGTCGTATGGCGTCTCGGTGCTAGAATCACTTGATTTACCGAGGTGTGGTCCTATCTTTTCTCAAACCCACATGCAGCGTCAGCCACTGCATAAGTGCGGGTTTGTGGTCGAAGCGTCCGAGGAAAAAAACTCGACCATTACGCGTGTGTCCTTCTTCATTTCGGCACCATATCGTGCGCTTTCGCTGGAGCAGGACCGTGCGTGGTTGCTACGTCTTGCAGGATGTGTGCGGCTAGTGCCCAGTGCGCTTGTGAACCGCCGCATCCGTCGTAACCAGTTACGTGACCGTCGGAGCTGGCATTTCCGGGACACTTGCTCTGTGTGTAGCGTTGAATTCTCCATGTTTACGCGCCGGGCTCACCACTGTCGCATCTGTGGTGCTTCTGTGTGCTCCAAGTGTTCGGCTATCCGGAAGGATACGCAGCGCTCCAAGTTTTCAGGGAGTACACGTGTGTGTATGGCGTGTTTGAACGGCGACCAGAATGGACTGAATGGATCTTCTAGCACGTACGAGACTCGTAGCGATGTCAGCCGGTCAAGTGATAGTGACGGAGGGTCGTCAAGTCGTGACAGTGATGGAGAGTGTTTCGGGTGCTTGGCACACGTTACACTAGAGGAGGCGTTGTCCGGTTGCACAATTGAGCCGATGCTTGCAGCAAACCTTCCTGGGAGTCCAAGTAGCACGTCCAGCAGCGGTTTCAGCCAAGGCGGTGAAGATGATGGTGACGTGTATATGAACTCGCCGTTTGACTACGAGTTGACGTTCACGAAGGGAAATCCTTGGCCGGATGCTCCTTTGACGCCAACGGAGAAAGAGCGCGTGAAGGTCATTCAAAGACTGAACCTGTCCCAAGATTTTGCAAAAACCGTTCTCCGTGACCTGTTGGACTTGGCGTGTACGACCGTCAACTGTCCGGTAGCAGCTCTTTCTGTTGTGACGAAATCTACGAGTTTGTTCGTCACCACAATTGGTCTTGTAGCTGACCAGGTGCCACGTGACATTGGCGTCGATGCCCACGCTCTTATGTCCCACGAACCCCTAGTGATTCTGGACTGCCGGAAGGACATTCGGTTTGCAAAAAACCCGCTGGCGCTGTCAATGCACGTGCAGTTCCTTTTGGGTATCCCGATCTTCTTGAAGGATTCAGGTGTGGTCGTTGGTGCTATTTGCATTGCCGATACGAAAGCTCGCAAGAAAGTCAAGGGCTCGGACTTGCGTGCACTGCAGCTCATTGCATCACGCATTGTCGACAAGATGGACGCACAAAACAACGAAGCGACCACGAAGATCACGGATGGTGTGAGGCTCTTGTAAGCAAATATCATTTTCCCAACTGTCTGATGTTGCATGCCATGTATTTCGTTCGCATAGAAGAACATCAGGAAGCGTGGTTGAATAGTTCATGTCTAGATTTGGAGCTCACGTGCTGATGAAGTCTGTCCTGCTTGTTTATCCCCTGAGGTTGAGATAGTCCCCATTGGCGATGAACGCATGAAATCCAGTGTGTGTTAGACAATGTACAAATACGAACTGAACAGGGTTCGAAATATCGTCACATCTCGGATTGTTTACAGCAAGTTTTCTCGTGTGTGTTAGCGGCGCCGCTTGATTTTCTTCTTCTTGCTTTCGCGAGCTGACGCATGTCGCCGAAGCTGTCGCTTTCTGCCGACACTGCCATAATCAGACTCATCACTGAAATCTGTGTCATCTTCTTCTATATCGTCGTCGTCATCGTCCTCCTGCTCGCTTTCCGAGCTACTCCAGCTATCTTCTGCATCGTTTGAAATAGCGGCGACAGGTTTTCGGCGGGCTCGCCGCTTACCCTGTGCAGCAGGTGATGGCTTGTTTCTCGCGCTAGAAGCGCGACCGATTGGTCGTCTTGCCTTCTTCATAGCAGGTATTGTATGTCCTTGGAGGTTCACGCCCACCGCGTCCAGCAGGAACTTGATGCAGTATTTCTGCAAGTCCTCTACAAGACCGCCGACGAAACAATCCCAGCCATTGTACGTGATCGCATTGGAAAACACAAGTTCTACGTCAGCCTGGAATACAAATCAACACGTCAGTGTGTAACTCAGACAGATATTACTTGGAGCCATGCGCACTTACGAAATAGTCACGGAAGCTTTTGTAGTCGTCCAGTTTGTCTTGTATCGTTCCAAAGTCCATTGGGTGAACAATTATCTCGGAGTACTGTGGGGCCACATCGTCAGTCACAGGCGAGCCAAATATATCCGTTTTGTCAGCATCAGTTAAAGCCTCGTGGAACACTTGTAGCACGGCTCTTAGATCCTCGCCACATGCCCGCTCTACAGCATCACGGTGTGGACTGGTGTAATTATCCATGAGGGATGAGTAGGTCAAGAGCTCCTGGTCAGGGTTTTTACGCTGCCGCTTTTGTGCGGGTGCTCCTCTGCTAACACTACCGGTTGATGGGGCTGTTGCCACTCGAGTTGCGCGCCGAATTCGAGGTGACAAAACTTGCGGTTCTCCTGCCTCACGGTTCCGAAGTTGTCTCGAGCTATTGACAGCCGTAGCAGCACCATCCTCCGCATTAGTTGTCGTAAATTGTTCTTCGCTGGATACGCTGTCAACACTTCCTTCGTCATTTTGCTCCACTATGTCGTCCGTCTTCGCTTCAATTGCATCGTCTTCCTTTGTCTCTTCATTGCTGCATGCGCGATGACGAGATGTTGCTTGCGGCGAAACAGCATCCACGTTACCGATAGCAGAAGGAGTCATAGCAGAAAGAGTCGCTGCAGGAGACACACGAACATCAACAGGACTAACAGGACTAACAACAGGTGCAGCAGAGTTGCTAAAACTTTCCTCCGGTGCTGGAGTCAACAAACCAATTTCCAGTAGTTCCAACTGTGTTTCTTCGGAATCTTCACTAAAATTTGTCAAGAAATCATCTGGGGGGTACGAGTAAACCACGTTGGCTAGCTCTCCCTCAGAGTCTCGACGATTCTCATCGCGCAACAGGTGTGGAAAATGACGTTGCGCTTGCGTCAAAACTGCAGAGAACAGGTTTCGTGAGTTCTGGGAGATCGGACTGGATGGAATGTTGTACGTCTCGCAGTTAATACTCAGCAGCTTCACATCAGCTAAGAACGCCTCCACTTGACGATAAAAGCCGAACCGTAGTCGTTGTTGGATTTTTGTTAAATCGATTGGATTGGCAATCGATATCGGGTAGTCTAAAAAAGTTTCTTCGTCGACGGGATACATGAAGTCGCGCGAAATTGACAGTGTCAACACCTGGTCCACTTCCTGTAAAAGCGCTTCACACTTTTCGCCAATAATACTTCGTGAGAAGTAAAGCCGCGTCGAACGCCTACGAAGAGAGAGTTCACGCTTCTCACGTCGCTCTTCAGGTGAAGATGGCTCTAGTTCCCATGGACACACGGAACACGTATCATCGTCTGGGTCATCCCAGTTAACCTTGACGCAATCCCAGGGCGAGATTTCTCCCAATCTACTTGACAGAAGCGGCTTCCGACAGATATTTTCAATAGTCCCGTACGACATTTTTGCTTCAACCTCAAGGCCGTGTTCATTCAGTTGTACAAAGGGCATCTGAACACGATCACCTATGCGCCAGTTGCCGCATACCCCACTCTCGTAGACATGATCGAGCACGAGGAAGTTCGCCACATCGTTTGAGTGATACAGGATCTTGAAGTTGAATCGTACTGATGACTCACTTACAGTGGGCGACAATTCTTGATCAACACTCGTAAATTCTGCAAATGGGGACGACTCCGGCTTAAACAAGTCGGTTGTGCCAGATGCAGCATCATCTTTGGTTTCTTCTTCTCGTTTTTGCTCCTCACAATCTCTAGCAGGACGTACAGCTGATGTTGGCACAGCAAGCACGGCAAGCAAAAGCTCACACTTGATAGTGTCGCACCTCACGTGCTCTTCGGCGGTTGGGAATACATACTTCACATCACTAACGCGACACTTGACTGCATAGAACCTGGACAATTGCGCAAAATATCGTGGATACGGTATTCCCCCGTAATCTAAATATCCAGGATGTCCTTCCGGCAGGTACACCACATGGTCACCAACTTGTGGGACGTACTGATGAATCGATCGAAGACTGACCAGTTGCAACCACCCGCGGTGGTATGTGAGACCAAAGCGCTTGGAAGCAGGTTCAAAAATAGCTCCCCCGTCTTCCGCTACAAGTTGAATGTTTTCCTCTTGCTGATGCCTTTGGGCGTGCCGAGATTGGTGGTCTGGGCAGAAGAAGTGCATTTGGTCTACAGACCAGCCAAAGTTGATCGCACATTTCCAATGATACGAGTTCCGACATGCGGCGATTGTACAACCAATCGTTGATCCGCGCTTATTGCATGCAACACAGATCAGAGAACGTCCGCGTCGAATCTCTTTGGTCACATTATACCAGTTGCCATCTCGGTTGAAACAAAGAGGAGAGGCAATAGCGCACTGATCATGCACAAATACCCTTTGAGCACCATAAATTAATGGATGCACACCCATGCCGTCTCCAGGTAACTTGAGCATTGCATTATCATCTCCAACACCACAAAACGCACATGGAATCAATGCATCATCACCATTTTCTGCTGGAACTGGTGCCGCGCCAAGCTGAGCCCTTTTCGCTTGAAGCATTTGTGTATATGTGACACTCTGATCGAATCGATCTAGCTGGTTATCGCTTATAATGATTCCTTCATTCGACTCAACGACAACTTCGTCCTGGCCTCCACGGCGACTCGAGTCTCTTTCGGCGTCAATTGTACCCGTATGCTGATCAGATGCCTCATCGCCTCCCTCTTCTGCGTCGCTATCAATAACCAATCTGGAGCGAGATCTTACTGCATTTCTTCGAGCCCGCAACTGCCGAGGCGTGTCGTCTTGTTCGTGCTCTCCCTCGCTATTTGACTGTAATCGTCGACCGCCACGAGCTGGAAACCGAACACGTGGCGGCTCTCGCTGTCGAGTGCTGCGAAGCCGCCTCCGCCTGGAGTTTGCTGGAGATATGACAGTTCCTTCATTTTCGCTAAGCTCGTCGTCGGGGTCAAAGTCATCCTCGTCTTCGTCCTCCTCTTCCTCGTCTTCCTCTTCTTCTTCCGCAGCAGCATGTCGCGGCGTTGGCACCTGAAAGTCTTCGTCATTTCGATCATCCTCACTGGAAATTTCAATTTCTAGCACTGATGTATCGCGCTCTTCAGCAAATGTCTCACGCCGACGCCGTGGGTCCGCGTCTCTTCTAGATCGAGACTCATGACGCCGAAGCTCTGACAACATCAGTGGGGCACCGTTCAATCTGTACGCGGCTCTAGCCGGTGCCATTGCATCAGCAGCAAATGCCCTATGTTCCTGGTCGGAATCATTTTCGTCGTTCTTTACGATAGCTAGCGGGAATGAGTAGACATCCTCCTCAGTTTCAGGCTGAGGGCATACTGCGCATCGAATTTCCGATTCTTTGCTCTGTCGGATTCGCAGTTTTCGATTCACCTCATACTGTTCAGATGATATTAAAGCATTGGTTAGCAGATGGGGTGGCTGGTGTGGATACTGAACTAGCGATGCGTCCATCAAAGGGCCCGAATCCATCAAGCTCGGTAACTCGCGAGTTTCCCTGTCTCGCACATTGTAGTGTCCATCAGTAACAAGCATTACGTAGTCATGAAGGAAGTACTGCTGCACTGGCGTCGCCGCGTACTCCTCTCCAGAACCCGTACCAAAGATAAGTAGCCGACCAATCTGATCCGTAAAGCAAAAACCATCGCCGTTCGGTGTAAAACCACCATCAAGATTGGAAAGTGGCTTTGAGTCCGGAGATAGATTCGTAAAAGACTTCAGCATTCTACCCGTGGATATGTCCCACAAGAATACACGTCCATCGTACCCTGCCGTGACTACAATGCGCCAATCCGTCGGGTGTGCACTTAAAGCAAAAGCAGCATTCACATGTCCGTTTTTCTTCTCTTTGTCAACCGCACCCAACGTCATCAGCAACTGTCCGCTTTCTGGTTCCCAGACACGTATCCTCTGCTCCCAAGCGTCCACGTGCTCCGAATTAAGTTTGACACTATGGAGTGTGATAAGTCGTCTATCATCGTGTGTCCATGCAACCATGTCTACGACGGGAATAGCCTTTTTACGACCACGGATCCCGTAGAGAGCTGAAATGTCATCATGCTCCACTGGCGACTCTTTCGCAAAGAGAACAACCCCATGCACACATTTGTACTTCCGCTTCCACTTCCATACCCGCGCAACACTATCTTTGATAGACGCAGTTACAATCCGGTCGCCGCGATAATTGTAGACGATACTCGACACTGGGCCTTGATGCCCCTTAAACAATGCAATTGCCTCGATGCTTGGAACGTCATCATCGGAAATAGATAAAGAAGGCAGATCATTCTGCACCTGTGGAGGCTGCGGTTGTCGAGGTGCCATCTCACGCTGCAACCCTTCTGCAACAGTTGGCAGTGGCACCTCCGCACCAGTCTGAGGTTGCATTGGCGATCGGGCCTGCAATGGAGGCAGTCTAGGAGCCATTGGCGCTGTTGCGGTTACTACCTCTCCAAAACGTTCAGCTGAAGCTGCTGGTGCGGCGATATCATTAGCCTGACGTATCAGCTGTTGCACCAATGGAGTCTGTAAGCTCGCAGATGGTGTACTCAAGGCTTGAGTTCCAGTTGCGCCACCAAAAGGGATTGTAGCAGAAGATTGTTGATCACTTCTTGATCCGTTTTCACTGGACTGTTGCTCCTGCGCTCTTGCTTCCTGTGGTTCATCTGTCGGCTGAAATCGTGGTACGACGGCAGGTGCATCGGGCGCTGAAACCATCGACAAATCCCACACACGCGCTATTCCGTCGTGGCCGCCAGAAGCTACAAAATCTCCGCAACGGCTAAAGGAGACGCAGTGCACTTTGCATGAACGAACTCCTTCTCGTTGAGCATGCTTCATCGCGTAGATGGGGTGCAAACTCAGCATGTACGCATTTAGCGAGTACAAGCGCCGCGCAGTCTCAATCTTTGTTTCTGGTCGATCCATGAATGGAATCTCCGGCACCTTGTAGCAAAAACACCGACCGTCGTCGGAGGCTGTGACGATGATATTTTTGCTCGGATGAAATCGAACTGCATTCACAACACTAGAATGTCCCACCAAAACCGCAACTGGGGCGCCTGTACTCATTTCCCACACTCGCACAGTCTTATCGTCGGAGGATGAGGCCAGCAGCGTGTTAGCGTGATTCACTGCCAGATCCGTGATGTTACCCACATGTCCTCGTAACGTGAATAATAAATCTCCTGTTCTCAACGACCAGATCTTCACAAGTCTGTTTGTGTGCCAAAAATAAGAAGTTAGATGCCTACATCATCACGGGATAGTTGTCGAGCCGAGCAAGGATAGTTATTTTACCTGTCATCAGATCCCGTAATCACGACCTTGCCCAATTTATCATATGCAAGACAGTAAGCCTGAATCTGTAGGTGTCCACTCAGCGTTTTCAGCCTCCGTATTCGACTGTACACATACGCTGGAGGAAGCTGTGTATCACGCTGCGAGCTAACCTCTCTTCGTTGCAACAACGAAGTCTGATTGTGTCCATTCCGCACCGTCGTCTGAAATAGTCCAGAGCGTTTTGCACGTTCCATCAACATATGAATCTGTTTCTCCACCGCTGCTCGATCCTGTCGTAAGTGGAAAAGTTGCTTCAATGCACGCACATCGGCCGCCAACATCGTCACTTTATCCTCGTTCGTGTCTGTCTTTATCCCTGTATCGTTGTCTACCATTGCTAGCTGCAGCTCTAGCGGTAACTCTTCCACACTCGTCATAGTCGTGTACTTCTGATACCGCTCGTATTTCTTAATCACTTTTTCCACGACTTTTACCGTCTTGAGCACTTCTCGTAGTCGAAAAAGCTGCTTTACAATATCTTTGGCTAATTTTTTGCTCTCGTCCAGTGACAACATCAACTGTCTCCTCACTCTCGTCTTAAGTAACAAACTAGTGTGCACATCCTTCGTCTTCTTTTTCTTCTTGTCACCGTCATTCTTCCCATCAAGTCTTGAAAACGTCGTAATTTCTTGTAAGAGCTCGACTATATGACTGGATGAGAGATCTCGATGACGTAATCGATAATCCTCGTACGTAGCGGTACGAGATGTGCCGGTCCAGTCGACGCTGCTCTTAAGTAACTGATGCTCCGCCAATTCCTGAATCAACGCATTTGCTGCTTTGGGACATACCGAGTGACGAGTTAAAAAGTCTGCAATGAGGAAATAGACCTCACTTTCATCCACAGAAAGTACTGCTTGTGTTTGCTCTTCATCTGTCAGGTTTGTGCTGCTCTTGTGCTCTTCAACTGAATGACCATCACTCTGAGACCCTAATAAACTCGCTGACAAATGCTCGCGAGTATTAGAGACATTGTCATTGTCTCCTGTGCGTAGAGGATGCTCGTCTTGGCTATGCAATGGGCTCGTAGTTACTAGCTCGTCGGCCATACGGACTGGAGGGCGCCGCCGTCACGTCCGTGTACCTTGTGCTTGTACCGGTATTTGTTACCGTCCTACGGTTTTTGGATAATGATGTCTGAAGTAACGCCAAAGGTCTATGAAACGATACAATCTTTTCGGAATGGGTACGAAACAGACCTCTGTGGTACTATCATTTCAGCACAAATTGATAATTGGGTACACAACATGTAGCCATTTGACGTCATGTTACGAGCTCAGGTTCATCAAGACGACGACACTGACGAGCTACACGACTTTATTGCAGTTACTGTACCATTGTCGCCTTCTACTGAGCAGGAAAAAGAGTCGCTGTGTCGAATAGATGAGGAGTTTTTATGGTTATTGTTGTTAGCAGCTGTGGCCGAGTGCGTAACCACGTGCTTTATGCCGGGGTACACTCTGTATACATGGGGTCTAAACGTCGATGGCACGGTATTAAACTGGATCGGACCATTTCTCGATGGATTATCATATGGTTATGAAGATTATTCTAAAGGTTCCGAGACGTCACTTGTCTGTGTGCAGTTTCGATCCGCGTTCTTAGGGTACAGACAATATGGACGAGTTTGTGTCATAAAGAGACTCGTTGCTCTGTCTTTGACTGTCATGCTATTGTTGTTGTTGTTTCTTAGGGTCCTTACGTCGTACTCGTTCATGGCTGATCATGCTGGAGATTTGAGCAGTCATAGCTTTGCAGCAGGACCGCTCTACATCTGTGTGTCAATTGGAGGAGGCTGTGGATGTTTCTGCTTGGGCAAACAAGTGGCAGCAGCTTCGTGTACGCACCCGGTCACTGCTACAGTGAGTCGGGTCGTAGGTACGATGAAGAACCGACCATCGTTAATGACGAGTTTGGTTACTTTTGTTGGAGTGACGACGTTGAGAGCGGCGTTAGGGGCACATGGATTCGTTCGGTACGTGAAGGTATATGAGGCTATTGGGTGATACTAGGAGGCGACTGAATGATGCGGGATTCGGATGCTTTAGGGACCCAAAAGATCCACAATTTATTGGACAAGTGCAAGTAGCAGACGGTGAAGAGCTGGTGCTTGGAATGTTAATGTCGTGCAGTGCAGTTTTATTGTCGAACTACGTCTGTGGGTTCTTTCCGCGACAACCATTACAGTTGCACACCGCTATTTCGCGTAGTAATGGGGTATTCATCGATTGGGGCTGTCTCTGCTGCAACTTTCTAGCTTCGGTTCTCGCGGGGTTTACATACCAGCTCAGCCTACTTTCGTCCACGAGAGTGACGAAAAACCTCCTTGCGCTCAAGTTTGTGAGCTCCTTTTGTGGATCACTGTCAGTCTTCTCAGGGGCAGTTAGCATTATCTCGGTACGTCTCTATGTCATGCTTAGAGGTTGTTGTACGAGTATCTAACGACAAATGGGATGTTGCAAACTTGTGCAGCGATTATGGCTTGCGGGTAATCGACGGTCTGCATTGTGGAACTTCCTCTTGCAGCTGCTTGTTGGACTGGTGTGCATACCGTACCTTTACAAACACGTCGCCACGTAAGGGGTGCGTCACGGCGCACCGACTCGTCACAGGTATAGTAGCACTTTATATATATATTTTTTAAATATGGCTACACATACATCTCTTGAAGATACATTATGTGTACGACACAATTCATCGCCACTGGAGTTTGTAATCTATATATTTATTTTTAGTATATTTGTTTTTGTACTATACATAAACCTTCTCCCCCCCTCTCTCTCACTTATACATTTTCCCAGTCAAAACGACATTACGCCGTCTGGTCCATTCACTTTTTTTCTTAACGAATCATCATGTCGGGTACTCGTGTCTACGTTGGGAATCTCCCCATGGACATTCGTACGCGTGAAGTTGAAGATATTTTCTATAAATACGGTCGTATTCGTGACATTGACGTGAAATTCCCGTCACGTCCACCGGCTTTTGCTTTTGTGGACTTTGAAGACTCACGGGATGCTGAAGACGCTATTCGAGGTCGTGATGGCTACGAATACGACGGGGCTCGGTTACGGGTTGAACCCGCGAACGGAGGACGGCGGGAATCAGGTCGCGAGTCGGGTCGAGATTCGACCCGTGGGTCGACCCGTTACCCGCGCAACATTCGGGGCACCGGCGACTTTACGGTCCACGTATCGAACTTACCACCACGTGTGTCATGGCAGGACTTGAAGGACTTTATGCGTAAAGCTGGTGATGTGGTGTTTACGGAAGTGGACGGACGTGGTGGTGGTGTTGTTGAGTACGGGAACAAGCGGGATATGAAGTACGCGGTGGAAAAATTGGACGATTCGGAATATCGTGGCCGTAGTGAGAATTCCTACGTCCGTGTACGAATTGCAGGCAGTCGTGACAGGAGCAGAAGCAAGAGCAAGAGCAAGAGTCGTAGCAGATCACGTAGTCGTAGTACGCGACGTTCTGGGAAGAAACGCAGTCGTAGTCGCAGTGAAGAGAAGGACGGAGAAGGAGAGAAGAAAGCGAGACGTAGTCGGACGCCGGATAAGGAGTCGGTGAAGGAAAAGGAAGACGAGAAGGACGAGAGAATGGAAGACGGTAAGGAAGCCGACACTAGTGAGACTGCTAGTGCTATTGACAAGAAGGAGCAGGATGAACCAATAGTAGCGGACAAGGAGGACGAGTCTATGAAGGAAGACGAAGTTGTGGCGGACAAGGACGAGTAGAGCAGCTCAACGGACACGGACGTGGGAACGGATGGAAAACGAAATTGGACCGAGGACGAGGACGTAGTGCGGAACAGCTTGGACTTGCCATGGCCTGTGTGTTCGTGCGTGAGTCTGGTTGCTGCTACGATAGTCGGTGTTCTCTTACCGTGTGCCTCCCTTCTGTTCTTTTATGTTTGGTGCTGTGTATTGCATGCACTGTCCGAGACAATGTGCATATTGATTTTGGTTTGTATCTCCATCGTTCGACTGGCTGGCGGCTTGGTTTTCGACTTGAGCGTCGGCTGGAAGCGGCTAGAAGCGGCGGGCGCTACGTGATACTTGATGGTTTGTGCGGAATGGCGTGGACAGCGGAGCGAGGGATGACGACGGCTTTGATGTGGATGGCGTGGTGATGAAGGTATTGGCTGCAAGAGGTAGTCAGACACAATCGACTAGAGTGTTGGAGACAGGGGTTGTCGTGTTTGATGCTCCCATAGCTGGTCGAGCGGTAAGAACAAATCCAATCCATATTTGCACTGAAGTAAGTAGCTGCACACGGGTCTCTAATCTTGTCCTAGCATTATGGGTAGTCGAATTGGTGATTGCAAGCGCGCTACCTCCTCGAGACCCTCGCCATTGTACGACAGAGATGGCAGGATCTCGCAGATAGCATCCGGCGCATTGTCCTCGAAGGTCGCGCCTGCATTCAGCAACCAGCGTTTACATTGCGCCGAGATCAATTGGCGCGCCGTATCAGGCGAGTCGCAGGCTTCTCCAGGCGCGTTTTTCACTGGAGCAAACTCATCTTCACGTGCCACAGCAAGCACCTTCATACTCTTGGAAAGTGGGAAGACATCAAAGATGAAAGTCTCAAGCTTGATGCCTGTGTTGCTCGTTGGAGCGATTGTGGCAGTGCCTTCGTCATTCACATACGGGATCTTCTTCTTGGCCACATGATATTTAGCATCGGTCCGGTTGCAGCAGCGCTGAAGGAAGTCAAGGCGGAACAAGTGGTTGCAAATATTGGCGGCTCCAAAGCTCAGCTTGCCGGTCGAAGGGTCCACCTGTTCCGACGCAGCCCGGTCAAGCTCTGAATTCTCTACCACGCAGTAGGCGCCATTACGCTTGGCCACCACACCAACACTCTCATTAGGACGAGTCTTCCACACGACCTTGTTTGCACAGTCGGCGTCCTGGTCGATACAGTAGCCAATGAACATTGGATCCGCAACCTTACAGAGTACATTGTCCACTGAAAATACGTGCAAATACTGCACATTCTGCTCGTCCAGCAAGCCAAGCACCCCATTGCGTTTCAAGGCTGGGTAGATACCACCATTGCCATCCGAGGCCCGCGCCAGCTGACTCGCCGTTTCGAGAATGAGCTTACCGCTTTCAGTAAAGCAGGGAAGTGTTCCCTGACAGAAAAAGTGAAGTTGGTCCCTTGACAGCCCGAAAAAGTTGTTCTTTTCGAAGAAGGACACTGTTGTTTCATGGTTCATCTCGCTAGTCATTATGAGCAACGGGATCTTTGGCGACTCGGCTAGATTGAAACGAGCTTCTGCCAGCTTCTGCACCTTAATAACTCGCTGCGCAAAAATCTCAAAGAGTGACTTTCTGGAGGGGAGACCAAGATCATACATGCCCTTCGGACCAGCGAAACCCAGGCGTGTGCCCTGACCACCACCCAGTATCAAAGCACCAGCCATTCCTTTTGAAACTGCCTCAAGACCGAGATCATACCACCTTGACTTCAGCTCTGGGGCAATCTCACTCAGCTGGTGCACCACTCCTTCTTCAACTGGTGACAATTCATCGACTACCTTCTTCTCAGCGTTGTCAGCCTTTGTCGACCGCTCAAACAAATCGACGATTTGCACCGGATCGAACTGTCTGAGGGTTTCAACCAGCTCGCAAGCCTCCTGAGCATTGACTTTGCCTGCATCGATGAACTGGAAGACATGACCCTGCCCACATTTGTCAAATGCTCGCCGAATAGTAGTTGGAACCGAGTTAGCACTTGCCATACATTTCGAGCTTTCCAATCGAATGATGTCGCGAGGAAGACCCTTCATCAGGGATTTTATATATGCCTCCAATCCTTCACCTCTATATGAAATCAGTGGCGATATCTCGATATGCCGAGCTTTTTCCAGTTTCTCATGAGCAAACCTATCGACTTCCTCCGCAGTTGAAATCACAGTGGCCGCTGCAAGAAGCCAAGCTTTTCCTTCTGCGTGCAACATGCGGCGGGCACTGTCAGGCGAGTCGATAGGATTTCCAGAAGGATTCTTGACCGGCGCGAACTCAGTCTCCCGAGGAACAGAAAGAACCGCCATTCGCGATGATAAGGGAAAGACGTCGAATATGAAGGACTCCAGCTTGATCCCCGAATTACTCGTTGGAGTAAAAGTTGTTCCGGTTTCGTCCGCCATTGGGATTTTTTTGTGAGCTACGTGGTATGCAAGACTCGCATTCGGGAGCACCACGTCTACCAAAAAATCACTACCGAAAAAGTTTAGCGCTAAGCGTAGAGCAAATACTCATCCCTGCAAACAAACGTACATGGTGTAGAAGTGGTTGCAAATGTTAGCCGCTCCAAAAACCAGCTTGCCTGTGCGAGAGTCCACACGCTCCGACATACCACGGTCGATTTCTGAGTACTCAATCACACAAAATCGACCATTCTTCTTGGCCACAACACCAACGCAGTCATCGGGTCGCGCTTTCCAAACCACCTTGTTGCCACAATCCGCTTTCTTGTCGATGCAGTACCCCATGAAGATTGGGTCGGCCACCTTACACAGCGCATTGTCGACCGAAAAGACATGCAAGTATTTGACACCACACGCCTGCAATTTCTTGACTGCTCCACTAGACTCCATTGCTTTGTACATGCCACCATTCCCATCCGATGCTGTCGCGAGTTTACTTGCATTTTCCAAAATGAGTTTTCCATCCATTGTAAAGCATGGCAAAGTACCTTGAAGAAAAAAGAACATTTGTGACTCTTTCAGTCCAAAGAAATTGTGCTCTTTAAAAAAATCGATCGTCGTTTCATGATTCATCCTGCTAGTGAGGACGTAGAATGGAATTTGAATCTCTTCTCGTAAAATTCTTGGAAACTTGTTTGCTGTCAAAACTTCTAGAGCCAATAGTCTCTCTGCAAACAACTGGAACAGACTCTTTTCCGATGGTAAACCAATGTCGTACATGCCTTTAGGGCCTCTAAAACCCAATCGGGTGCCTTGACCTCCACTCAACACCAAAGCACACACTTGTCCGTGACTAATACTTTTTAGACCGAGATTCCTCCAGCGTTCCGTCTCTTGAATTGAGCATTCCTCTAATAGATCATAGCTCTTTAAAGGTTCAATAGTCCCTGTCTCGGTATTTTTTTGTGCTTGGATTGAAGCTTGAAAAATAGATTTCACGAGCTCTAAATCAAGAGTTTCAAGCTGGATTCAAATAGAGTAAAAAATTAATCTTGATTTTTGTATACTTATTGATTGTTCCCTTACCTCTTTTATAAATTCTTGTGCCTTTAAAGACGGTAATTTATCAGCGTCATCAAACTGTAAAATATTTAGAATTGTAATGTCATTTAATAAGGTGTAAGGAATTATAAATAACAGTCTCTTTTACCTTAAGGACGTGGCCTTGACCAGCTGCTCGTAATTTACGCGCTAGCTCCTCTGGGACGTGAGGCATAACAAGAAGGTCTGATCGTAAGCCGACCCTATACTTAAACTTGACGTTATTTTTTTTACTCTATTTTCCGTTACAAAAAATACTACTTATTAGATTACTTACCCGATGTGAAGTAGCACAAGCTATATGTTGCATTAAGGACAATTGATGCTTTTGACCCACGATGAGGAAAAAACCCAACAATTTGAACCTGAGCTTCTCCGTTCTTTCAATCTAAATATCTCAATAAAAACCTCGTATAAGTATCACTACCACAATGTACTCTTTGCAATAAAATACTGCATCAAATCAGCATCTGGTGCAAAAGAGAGTCTCGTTTTGCGTTGCAAAGGGCAACAGCAGCGTCGTTGAGAATGGAGACGTCCATGACATTCGTTGTTTTAAAGTAAATACAATACATTGATTCAACGCATCAGTTCAAAGTAGCTTTTCGAGCTTTTTTTAACAAAACGATAACACGAACACTTCTGGTTCCATTATTTGCGATACAATTCGAAGAGGCAGTCGAGAATGTGAAGTATTAATTTTGAGCTTTGAAAGAGTGGTCTAGTGCAATATGTTCAACACGATGAACTCGAACGTGCAAAAGTGTTTGTAATTTTAAAAGCAAGAAGCAAGCCTTCGTGCAAATTATCATTGTTAAGACACGCACAAACTAACATCCTCGATCCACTCGACAAACCAGCTTCGAGTTCCTTCCTGGTACGGCGGACATCGCTGGGAAAATATAAAGCTTCTCGGGGACCGTTTACAACTTTTCGCGCGTGGGAAAAATGCAGCAAGTTCACATGAACAGGGGCTCGTACACGCGGCTCTTCTTCACCGCGGCTTCGTCTGCACCTGTCAGATCAAGCTCAACGTTCACGCAAAACAGCGGGGTGTTGCTCTCATCATCACTCGTCAGCATGATCTCGTAATTGCCGGCAGGCGAAATGATGGGGAGGTTCACATCCACCTTCAAGTCTGTAAGCTTGCCTTTCGTCACGGGGCAAGCGAAGCCGTGCACGTCAATGTGGCCCAGACCAAGAGGAAGAGGGATGTGCGAATCGCCGCACATCTTACCAGTGTGTCCAAACACCTGCATACCAGCCAGCTTGACGCCGAGCTTGAAGTTCGCCGACACGACGTCCTGCTTCGCGTTACCATTACCAAAGAATGAAACCGGCTGGCCACGCTGAGGAGAGGTGGGAGTCACTTCCAGGTGAGCAAAGTCAATGATCGCGCTACTTTTATCGCCGCACTGTGTAATCTTGGCCGACGAGAACAAATCAGCAAGGTTCATAGGACTGGATTTACGTGCCTTTTCAGCTGGGAACGAGTCCACACGATTATCAGCGGAGACGAATCGTGGCTCCACGGCCTCCTCAATCTTCTTCTCGTCCTGTGAAATCAGCGTCGCGAACGGGTAGCTAGGCACGGAAGCAATACCGCACTGTCCAGCAGGTCCGTTCCCTTCACGAGCAAGACGAATGTATCCCTTCTCGCCCCATGACGGTCCCCACGAGTTCTTTACCTTCCAAAACTTCTGTCCATTTTCAGTACCATATCCTACAGCCAGGACTCCATGGTCCAAGCTTGTGCCGCACGTCAAGTTGAACACGCCCGTCTTGTAAAACTGGAAAGCCTTCTGGTCCGCTTCAATAGCTACTGACACAGGTTGCTGTGCTACCGCCACCTTCAGCGCTTGTTCATCGTGCGAGTTAACGTCTTGGAAACCCGTAACCTTAACAACACTGTCGCATTTGTGACACATCTGGGCAGTGCCCTTGTAATCATAGTCCTCTTCACTGCAGATACCTCCATTATCTTCAATCCATGCAAAAGCATGGTCCATGAGGCCTCCATTGCAGCCCATATCGCCATTATGATCGCAGTCTACAAGCTCCTGCTCAGACAAACTCGGTAGTTTCCCACTAGACACGAACGCGGCTCCCTCGACGGCTCCAGTAGTCGAAAAGGCCCAACACGAGCCACACATGCCTTGATTCTTGACAGGCGTCACGCCACCCTTGTCTTCCCAGTCCACAGCTTCAGGAGTCTTCACGTTGTTGAACAGACCATTGACACGCGACGCCAGTCGCTCCTCTACGTATCCGTCCGGCAGGACGAGGCCCGTCATCTTGGACTTGAACTCATCAAACGACATGTGCGAGAACTGATTGTGGCCCAGAATAACACCCGTCCAAGCATTCTCCAAATTGTGTTCAAGGATGTACATGTCATTAACGATATAATTCTCCAGACGTTTAACAAATTCTAGCGCGTCCGAGAACGAGATCGCGTGGGTCTTCATCCAGGCCGAAAACTCGTGCTCGTATTCAAGTGGAGTCTTGAGTGCGTTGGTAAGCGCGAGGCCGCTAGCGACGAGGAGAGAAAACACACGCATGACAGCAGGAATGATTGTCAGTGTGTGTGTCCTTCGAGGCGGAAAGAATTGTGAGAGATCAAAAGGGTTGAAGCGGTTATTCACTTGGCTATTGTATGAAAGATCGGGAGGATCATTCTTACTTGGGAAGTGGCCATTAGCCAATCAGAAAAGAGATTAAATCGACGCTGTTTTTTTAGCCAGTTGAAGAAGGTGACGGCTTGGACCAATCAGATAGCTGTTTGTTAGCCAGTTGAAGTAGGTAGTAGTTTCGACCAATCCGATAGCTGCTTTATGGGAGCATGCATTTTAAGACCGATTGGAAAGAATTTAGCCAATGAGGACGCACCTACGTCTGAGTTGTTGATGCTGCTGGCACTTGCTTAAGCTATTGATTGCCTTCATGCTCATGCGCGAGCTTTTGTCTCTAGCGGAACACGCAAAGCGTCAAGTTAAGAAGTAAAGGACTTTGTGCAATCATTTTTTTGCGAGAGCTCTATGCTGTTGGCTCGATATCCGTTAATAGTGTACGCTAATGTAGACCGTGCATTAGTTTTTGGTGATTGTCAGCTGCATTTTGTTCGATAAGTCGAATCTCTCCGATACCTGTCATCTCCTTCGAAGCCTTTGGCGAAGAAAGAGAAATAGCCTCTTAGCCTCTTCTGAGTGAGCGACTGGCAGTGAAAAAGTCGGTAGCGTTCTGCCACGGGATCTGCACAACATTGTTATGATGGATTTTTCTTCCAACACGTAGAAGTACCATTGTGCGACACATGATAACATCAAGTGACGTCAGGCATCTGTACTGCAACGGTCGGTTCTCGAATGAGCTCTTCTACGAAAAGTGTGTGTTCGCCCGGAGTTGTTTGCATGCAGCATCCAGAAGACTGCCACGCAAAAGCATCATGGGCCTTGTATCACTACCATATCTCAATGTTCTGCAAACTTGCTGAGTGCAATGCAGTAGAACCTAGCTTTCTATCGTACGCTTATGTTCATTTGGACACTCAGATATCCATCCATGACAGATTACAATGTGGTGCAGCTTGGAATATCTTGAGTCGAAGACATGCGTGTAGACTGACTAACTCACAGGTAATAATGGCACGTTCATTATGACTCAGAAATCATTCATCAATCAATACCTGAACCTTCAGCAATAATGGAGCAATAATAATTATGTAAATGAATATATAATTATTGCGTCGATATATCACTAATAAGAGTTTTCCCTTTGTTAACCGATCATCGAAAGACCATGGTTTTATTTCTCACTATGATATCGCCCCGTCTCTTGCGACACCGTTCAAATCCCCCTCGTGAATTTTATCCAATCAGCACCTTTTCCAGTATCAGAACACTATTCAATTAAAAGACCCATGTCTATTAAGCGTCTGCCGCGGCCGCTGCAGCTCGCAATTGCCAATGCTGCTCATCAGCGCAGCCCTTCTTTGTCACTAAACTGTTGCTGTCCACTTGATAATCTAATGTGTTCCATTTGCTTTGATATCTTGAGCTTTCCAGTCACACTACCGTGCGGGTACGTCGCCTACATGCATTCTGTACGAAATAGTAGCTATTGATGACTAAATCGACCATCATTCTTTCATTCGGTGACTCTAGACACAACTTTGATCGGGGCTGCATCTTAACAGCATGGACTCATACTTCCTCGTCGCCACGTCGAGCAACAGTGCAACAGAGAGGCAATTTGTGTCCGTTATGCCGGCAACAGACTCATATTTACCCAGCGGAGCAGCTGCAGGTCAATTTACTACTCAAGGAGCTCATTGCGTCGCTGTATCCTGCAGAAATGCAGTGTGCAGCCACACCAATGAAGCAGCAAAGTCCACGCGTGACGCTGCTGCCGGTGTTGTCTCCGCGTGCGAACGGAGGTGCGCTCACCACTAATACAGCAGCCTCGGCGTTTCGACGACGACCGAGTCTGCGCACGTTTTCGTCCTTTGTTTACGTTTGTACGGCATCGGTAACAGACCCGCCCGGGTTTGTCCTTGCAGTCTTGCTGCTTTTAATCCTTCTGGCCACAGCTTGCAGTCCACAGCCGGCAACAGCACCACCGGCTGCATCTGCAATGGTCATGTTTGACACGATGGATCGTGTGTGCAACGGACTGTCACTCATGATCCACCGAATTTCGATGCAAATGGACCAACTGGATCAACTCTCGCCATGGATTCGACTCATTTCGTACGTTCTCTAGTTACTCGCTCTTACTTGTATGTTTTCTTCCAAGCGACGACGAACTCTTTGCACACCACAGCCTGCACTTAATTTATGTCAAGCTAGCCAACCACCGAACATGGAGCGACTCGAAACCATATGGAGAAAGAAGAACCAAGTCTTCTATCGTCTCCTGTAAGCAGCGAGTGGAGTGTATTTTTATCTGTGAGTATGTTCGTTATGTAATTTGTCCACCGTAATTGATAGTGGAGATGACAAAAAATCACTTGCAACAAACCAAAAGAGTCAACGTATGTGGTGGTATGCATTTGCTCCTGTGCATGCGCTTCAAACAATCGGGGGATTGTTTGTCTAGGTAAAAGAGTTCAAAGCGCCATTCAAGCCAAGCGAATAATGGCCAACTCGGTCTTCCTCTTCATTGTTCATGGTGCACATGTACTCAGCCTTTACTTCCTCCTGCCGATGTCTGAATGCACTGATGATGATGATAAAGTTGGCTGAAGTATGTTGCTCATTTAGCCTGGGAGTCAACTAAGAGTATCAGAGCTCATCAGCATCTTCTCCACACATACAGTAATTGCGCAAAGCTGTCCCTGCTTGCCCTCGGCACTGCACTGCACGCACGTCGAATTCACTGTCCGAATGCCTCGCAGAATCCTTCTCAAGCTCTCGATGCACAACTGGTCAATCAACACGTTTTTCGGTAGACCTCGAGAAACACAATGGTGTAACTCAATGCGGCATTACATGCTGCCACCATGCAATGGGACCAGCTCCTTTCTATTCCCGTGTATTGTCCAGTGATAGTCCCAATGCTTTCATTTGCAACTCAAAAACTGCACCAACCGGTCTCGGTCTTGCCACTTGGGCAAGCTCTGAGCAGGGGTCTTCTTCCACGTCCAAAAAATACCACAATAGAAAAGCGCCCGCAATACATGCGTGCATATTGACATCAGTTGTTAATGCTTCAGCACACGAAGAGGCAATTGCTGGATGTCCAACTTCATTACGTGGAGCCAACGCCTCTCTACAAAATGCCTTGTTGTTTCGCGACTTTCATGACAGACCTGGCACAAACCCTTATATCATCAGCAGCATCAACCACACATCTCCGAATATCAAAGGTTACCATTTAGTTCATACATAAGGGCAAAGCTGGATTACACTGCTTCTCTCTTGGATTCATCGAGCGTTGACTCTTGAGATTTTGACGCCATTACTTCATCCAGCAACTGCCTCAGCTGCTGCTCCAGCGCCTTCTGTCGAAATTGCTTAGAATATTGAATTGCTTGCTCAATATACGTTTTCCGTGCTGTTGGGCCACCCTTCATCGAACGTAGACCACTTACAACAAACTCTTTTTCCTGCACAACGAAAGAGGCAACACCAAGATTAAGCGTGCTGAGGAAAAAGCAAATCACCATAAAACGTACCTGTTGCGTTGTCGAGCGCGCCTTGGTAAGACGGATAATAGTACTCCACGATTCCCAATTTTCTGCCAAGACACCATAAACCAATCGAACAAAGCTTCCGCTCTTTTCGTCCTCCACGAAGTCGCCGTCGTGAAGAGGGATACCCAGCATCTGAGCAGCCTCAGCCTTTACAGAGTAGTTTGACCCCGAGCTGTCGGTCATGATCGAGTCGCCACTGTCGCTTCGGCCTGGCGACGAAACTGTCGATGAACTGCTCGAAATAGGAGAGCTAGGTGAGTGAGATGGCGACCCAGGCGATGACTTGAAGGACGGCGAGCCATGCATTCTGTGAGAACGTTTTGAGTATTTTTTGTCCCGCTTCAGTTGAGAAGACCGCTTGCGCGTACGCTGACGCTTCGGAGACTGACCTTCCAGTGCGGCTGCTTCGTCTGCAGCTTCATTTTGGTAGACATTGCTCGCCTTGGACGAACTCTTTTTGTAAGGGTTACCGAGATTGAAAGATAATTGGCGCCGTCGCAGCCCAGTTGGAGTATCTTCGTCCGCTTCAGCCTCAGCGAGAGGATTGCGAAGTGCCTCCTTCTTGATCAATCGCGATTCGTAGTCACTCATTACGTCAATAGGCTGGCGATGCTTTTCGTCTTCCTCCACGGCACGCCAACTAGGCGCCAGCTTCAATGGCGCCGCCTCGTCTTTTGATGCCGTCGAGCGCGGAAGAGCTACCTGAAAGTGGAGCTTTGATGGCTTTTCAAAAAAAAGCGCTTTGCTTTTTCTGTAAGCGGCACGCAAATCTTGGAGCGACATCGTCGCAATAGCATCCAATGTAGCGTCAGTCTGGTTCGCTCTGTTTTCTCTGCTTCCGATGGGCGACGCAGATGGAGACGATTCGGGGATGCCGCTGCTTCGTGCACCTGACGCTAAGCTGGTGTTTTCGCCCCGAGTTACCCGCGAGAACAACTTGTTGTTGCTGTCGCTCTCCACAATTGCCTGCTCTCGCAGGCGGTTCAGAAAGTTTGAGATATGGTAGCTCCTTCCTGAGTCCTGAACCTCGGGTACCATGTCATGCAAGTTGTATTTGCGGAGTGCCTTTTTCAAAGGAGCGTAGTAGTAGATTGGGCATCCACTAAGATACGACGAAAACGCCTCACGCCATGAGGACGGCATGGCTTTGGCCTGAAACATCCACATACTTGACACCAAATTAATGTTCTGTCCGCTTGCTTGATACACTCGTGCGACTTCTACAAGAAGCGAGAATAGCTTAGGGAAGTTGTACGGCAGCAGCACAAGCACTGCATTCGAAGAATGAATGCCAGGACCCGAGCTAGGTGCACGAAGCATGCCAATAGGATCTCCCAATCGTCCGTCTCCTTTGCTGCCTTGAATGTAAACCAGCCATCGGTGTCCGCGACTTGGAGTTGGACAAATCGATGTCTCCAACATGTAGCTATCCGCCGGGAACTTGAGCGTATCTAGCAACATATGACTCGTGGCTGCCTCGATCGCGTTCTCGACCGTTCGAGAATACACTAGCGTCGGATGTGCCTCTCTTGTCGGCAGTGCAGCTGTGTTTCTATCCAGCCAGAACGCTTCCGCGACAGGCCAGCAAAACTCTTTTGCACTTGGCATGGGTGCAATAATGTTCCTCGTTGTCGGAAACTCTGCTTCTCCGTCCATAGTTTCACACTTGAACTTCACCACAGCTCCTGCTTTCACTTTTAAAATGATTTGATCAATACTCTGCTCCACTGCAGATTTGGACGTGGGCAAGTAAAGTGTTCCTCCTGTAGCTTCACTTAGCGCCATCAAGTCCGCAGGCACTGTAGGTTGTCCCTTGACGCTATTTATAGTGGCCGAGAGTTTCAAAGCGACCGTAAAAAGTCTCTGGTCCCATCGAAATGGTTCGCGCGTGAGCTCCGCTCCCACCGCGTGGGACGGCGCGATAGTCAGTGCGTCTTGAATAAGACCATCTGTACTGGACAACGTCGTCGCGTCTGTAAGCAGTACACAAACGGACACATTAGTGTTCCACGGAGCACGGCCAAGTGCGTAACTGTCCCAATTAAACTGCAGACGGATCTGATTCATGAGCTCAAAGGCCTGTTTAAGCGCAGCGCCCACGTCGCTCAGATCCGTAGCCCGAAGATTCTTGAGCTCTTGAAGAAAAACCTCTTTATTAGTGGACTGATCCCATCCCACACGTACACGACCGCTATAAAGAGCAGCCCCGTCCGAGTTCTTCTTGGCTTTCATTCGACCGTCGCGACCGCACGAGAGCAGCATAAAGTGGTGCTGATAACGCCGACTTGGATCACGTACGCGTTTCACAAATCGTTCTATCGCTGATTTGGCATAATCCAGTAACGTCATGCCTGAGCTCGTGCTCTGATTCATCGACGCACTCGTGTCCAGCACGAACGTTACAAGCATCCTGGCAAATCTGAAAATGACCGATATGCTGATAGCGCCGATATACAATACGTATCTAAAGTACGATTTTGCACCTATTTGTGCAAGTTATTTATTTCTCTCATGCGCGAAATTTACGCTTTTTTAACGAACGTTCGACAACTGCAGCGGCGGTGATGGTCTCAGCGTTGCGTCCCTTCCATTGGACGAATCCCTTAGCATCTCGAGTGCCGGCCTCAAAGAGTTTCTTCTCATCTTGAGTGAGTTTCCTTGTAAGCTCGGTTGTGTCCTCATTCAAGGTGCTCATGGCATTGTTGAGAATATCACGGTACCGCTCGCCGCCAAAACAGAGCCGTAGAATCTCATCAATCTCTGTCTGCTCTTCCTCATTCACGTAAGGCATGAGATGACTCCCTACTCCCAGTACATAGGCAGAAAAATCACGCAAATTCACAGATGAAGGACCGGCTTTGAGCATACGGCGGAAACGTTTAGTCAGGAAATGTGGTGGTTCGATCGTCACGTCACCTCGCCCGGCAAGCGTCGTTACGAGCCACAATGGTAGCTCTACAACGGACCCTTTCGGCAAGTCAGGACTGCAACAACTAGGGTCCAAGTACCCGCAATCCAATACATCAGTCTCAAACGTACACGCGATACGCTCATCACCGGCTAGAATGTCGTCGATGTCCAGGTATCCACCGCTCATTAAACCTTTGGCGCCAAATTTTATGGAATGCTACAGATTTTTAGATTTTTAGAATTCTGAATTTGTAGCTATAATCTAGAATCTGTAGTAATCATTTTGGCCAATTGGAGAAGTCAAAAAGGTAGCCATATCTTCAAGAGTCACAGCCATTGTGACCACGCGAGGAAGCATTCAAGGTCTATGAACAAGAAGCTTCGTTGTCAAATGACTCGATCGACCCATGCCGCTGCCGTATAGAGCTAATTATCGTGATACCTTGTCGTCAACTATCCGTTTCTTTACATAAGAATCTCGTACATGTACATTTTTCATCATACTTTGCTACTCTCTCACTTTGATTGTCAGGCCATTGGTCAGGTATCATCACTCCGACTCCGTATCGGAATCATCGTAGTCGTCGTCAATCATGGCAACAAATGCCGCCTTGGTCGTCGGGTTAATCCTGCACGTTTTCCTTACTTTATCATTCACGTCTGTCTTCAGTACACCTTTCCTCGTTGGAGGCAGTGGCTTGACTTCATCGTCATCGTCGCTAGAGCTCAAAATCGCAATAATACTTCTGTCCTTCGTACAAGGTCGTCGATCCTTCTCCATCAGCATTGTGTCCTCCTTACCTTTGTGCTTCTCCTCCTCTGCAAATGCTACCTTGCTTTCTTCATCAGAAGAACTGTCAATCACGATAATGTCGGCCGGGGCAGAGCGCTTTGGAACTGGAATGTGAGGAGAAGGGCTCGGCAAAGTCTCGTTTTTAAATCTAACCACACGTCTTACTTGTCGCCGTCGGCGCACAGCAGTCTGGACTGTTGGGATAGTTACCATTGTAGGCGTCGGCGGTAGCTCCGTAGATACTGTCGAATTGCTGCTGCTTGCACGAGTGCCTCGGTTAGGCATGACGTGAATTGCTCGTCGAATCACCTCCTTGTGCTCGTTCTCAACGTAAAAGCGCACTTCACCAGGCTCCGCGACAATGTCTTCTCCCAGCAAGCGCAGATTGTTCAGCACGTAGTCAAGTTTGCGCTGAAGTGCGGTATTCTTGTTACCTTTTGAAGCTTTTTGAGCGTCACTCCCGTTTGTTCGATGTCGCTTACGTTTTTTGCTTGAAGCAGCAAACATTTTTCCTACTTTCGTACTAGACTTCTTTGGCGATCTCCCTGGCGAAACGACCTCATGCACTCTCAATTGAGCTGGAGCAGCAAGTACTTCAGAACAATTTTCTTCCAGTTGGACCCGATCGTCTGTTTCACGAGGCCTCAACATTTGGCTCTCCACACTACCTCGCATCCACAGTTGCTCCACCACCACGGCTTGACCCGCACCCATTCGATGAGCTCGACTTATAACTTGCTGCTCCAACGATTTGTCCCAGATCTCGTCCATCAAAAAGATGTGCGTAACAAAGGAGAGGTCCAAGCCGTGTGATCCGACCTCCGTTAGCAGAAGAACATTCACATTAGGGTCCTTGCGAAAGCGCATTAGTTGCTTCATTCGCATTTTTGGGGTAAGTCCAGCAATGAAATCAGCTGTGGGCACACCCTGTTGAGCAAATGCAACCTTTGTGTGCCAAATATGCTCTTTGAACTGTGAAAAGATGATCGCCTTGAGATAGCGCGCTTGACGTCGCGAAGATCGTCCACTTGGAGTAACGGTGCCAAGTAAAAACTCCTTCTTCAGCTCTTTAATTCTAGTGGCCGCGTAAAATGCTTTGCTAGCGTCGATGAAATGAATATCACGAGTAAGATCCAGCGCGCGCCGAGGCTCTCGGTGACCATTTTGACCATTCGCCTCGTGACCACGTCGGTTTCCCCTACCATGTCGTCGGGGCTCCTGTCCTTCCCTGTCACGCCGCTGGTCTTGATTGACAAGCTGCTGGATCTGATTGACGCGCCTCCCATGACGATTATTTTGGTTCGGGTTGGAATTGTTGTTCTCCAACGACACATCTTCTTCCACCATTTCAAATTCAAACCCAGGCTGAAGCCGTTGGAAGGTTTCTCGGTCGAAAACTACATTGCATTGAAAACAAATGGGGCCAACTCTTCGTATCCGATCTTCCACACAGTCGGCACAGCACAAATGCCCACACGGGATAATCATTAGCAATTGAAGTTTGCGCTTGCAGCACTCACACTTAGTGACAACCCCTTGCAGTTGAACTTTACGAAGGTATTCCAGCACGACCGCCATATCATAGCCATCAACTCCGAGTGCGCTTAGCATATTAATCGTATCCAATCGAGACGCCTCGGCCAGTGAAATCTTCATAGCAGATCCGCCGCAACATGCTGACCGAAGATTACAGACGACACGCGACGCCTCTTTCCGATTAATTGGATTCAAAAGGCTATCCGGATGCTGACAACCAGGAGTTTTGGGATCCATATTCGTAATGACCAAGTTAGCACGAACTGCCGCGGCAACACCATTGTATTGCGCATACTCGCTTGGTGTAGGGTCAATATACACGGTGCGTCGGATCGGTTCGGGCAATATCTCACGAATTGACTCTTTTGTATGCCGCATCATGATTCGGCTGAGGAGGTGTTGCAGGCGATAAAACCCGACAATTTCATTCCCTATAAACGGACGAGCAATCGCCTTCATCCACGCATGTCCGTCTGGACTCCCGTAAGGTAGATTACGCAGAAACACTAGAAGTCCATGCATATAGCGGAGATCGGCAGATTGGAGGGTGTTTGGCGTGGGTGTTCCGGTCATTACCCAGCGCCTTCTAGCACACAGCAATCGGGCCAACTGCATCAAATCTGATGGAGTCTGGCCGCCCAGTTTGTGACCCTCATCAACAATTACTCGCACCCAATGAACCGTAAGAAGAGATGACACTTTTCCGCGAAGAGTTCCGTCGGCATACCTTTGTGGACCTTCGAAGCCATAACGTTCGGGCATACGCTCCTCTAAAGCTGAAGTTGGTCGATTGATTCTCCATTCGCGCGCCAATCTAGTAAACGAGGTGATGACAACATCGTACTGAGCAAGATCCGTATTGTACGGTAACGCGTGTTCGACACCAGGGTCAACAAATACACGTAAAGCGCCTGGTGCGACGTGAGTTTCGACTTGATACTTCCAGTGTTCTACCAGCGGATCGGGCACAACCAGTAATGAGGCGCCAGAGGACACTACGTCCTCAACATTCACGCAGCGACCTCGGGATCCACACGACCGTAACGCTGACCGAGTCATGTCTCTGCCGGGGTCAGACGTATTAACTGGCGTGTTGTCCGTCGTTTGTCCTTTTGTTCGCAGAATTAATGCCAACATTGTAATGGTTTTACCAAGACCTGGCTCATCACAAAACATGCCTCCACACGCGTCACTTGCCGTTACGTGGGGATGTGTGATGACTCGGTTCTGGATCAAATCTATAGCTACCGCCGACTCACTTTCCGACTCCGACGATAGAATGAACGGATGTGGCTGAGGAATGGACGTCAGTGACGGAGTTTCACGGCGCAGCATCCACTTTAATCCTCTCCGTTGGTGCTCATATAGTACAAGGTTCAGACCAGGTACCACTTCGTATGCCATGTGCTGGAACAGTGAGCACACGCCACATAGCGAAGAAAGATCCCGTGCATTCATTAGACACAAGATATTCTGCAGCACATTTGCAGGTAGATCGGTCATAAAGATCTGTTTCTTGGAGTGCGTCATTCGAGCCAAGTACGTGAAGTCGTCACGAATTTCCATCTGACCCACTTGCATTTGACTCGTCAAGCTATTAAACACATCAGGTAAATGAAGCTTTTGCTTGGGTTGCATCATTGGTTTGGCATTGTTCCAAGGGTGTAATCGACAACCGATAACATGACACGACGAGTTGTTCCTGGCATCTTCCAAAGCAGAGTTTATTGCCTCTTTCTTTGCCTTCTGGTTATCCAATACAATTGACAGCATTGTCGCTTGGAGATGACACAATACAAAGTCAAAATCTTTGAGCGATGTGCCAAGCTTTGCTTCCTGATGCACTCGCACGTGCAATTGAAGTGTCGCTACAGGCAAAAGGTCAGTGGATCGGGAGGCTACGACGTACATGGCGTCTACCTCAATGATTTGTCGCTCTATGAGCACCAATAGCGACCGTAAAAAGCGCAAAAAGTCGCAGTGGCAGCCACTGGCGACGTTGACGCACGTCACCGTCTTGCGGATATTCGGACGGACGAATGCGAGTTGGAGACAATCGTTTGCCGTGCGTTGGAGTGACACGGGGACGCCCACTGCGTTAGTAGTCGAGAGTTGATACACATCCGCATACACGGGCGCTAACAGTTCGACGATTCGGACTGCAGCTTCAGCTGCTCCGGCCATTGGTTTTTTTGTCTGTTTAAACACGTTGTTTTAGCACGTTTTATCAAATCAGCGGTTGTAGCGAAAGTAAAGTAAATTTCATTTTACGCATCGTGTTGCTCTATCCTGTTTAAACGGTTTTACAGAAACGAGGCGTTGCTGTGAGGTCGAAATGATAACCCGATGACCTTGATCCTGTCCACGCTTAAACGTGTACGTACATTGCACACAGTAAACGCTGCAAGGCCACAGCAGGAGCACTAGTATGACGTGACGAAGCATATTGTGTCACGAAACGGTTTACGATTCACCACTGACTTGCAGGGTCGAGTCGCTTAGCTTCGATATTCGGTTCAATCAACAATAACGCATGAAATGGAAATTATCTTGACAACTGTATACCATAGAGCACCAAGATCCCCGATCGCCTTCATATTTTTCCTCACAATTTAATAAGCCAAGCACCACCATAGCCGAGTATCCGAGTATTATGACGAAAGTGACCGAGTTTAAGGTAGGCATGACGTGCGACGGCTGCTCTAGCGCCTGTACGCGCATTCTTAACAAGATCGAAGGTGAGTTCTCTGTGCATTTTCGCTTATCTCTTAGGTTCTAAACTTGTTGTAACTCGCTCAGGCGTGTCGGACGTTAAATGCGACGTGGAGAAGCAGCAGATCTTGGTCGAAGGCGATGCCGACGTCAATGTGATGCTCGAGGCATTGCTTAAATGGTCCAAGGCCAGCGGAAAGAGCGTGGAGCTAGTGACATAAGCGTCTCTACCTCATTCTTCCCCCTTTGCATGCGACAGTCGAGTGTCCCGTGGTAGCACATCACAGCATCACAAAGAAGCAAACAGAGAAGAGAAAACTAATGCAAGTCAAGAGAATCTTGATATTGGAGCTTGTACATTTCCTCCACGAGCAATTTGAATCATTCAGCGAGCATTATGTTACTCAACCTTCATTAACTTGTAGCCTGCCTGGATTAGGTTTTTATGCGTGGCAAAAGTTATAAACATCTGTCCACATCGCAATTCCAGTCTCTGTTTTCTTCGTGCAGACGACAGACGGCACGTGCGCCGTTTTAATCATTTTAGACGGGGGTGATAATGACGGACGTTACTGGATTCATTGCGGGTAAAGGGAAAGATACACCGGCTACCAGGCATCCGGCAACCTCGAAACGGTTAAATCGACTCGTCTGTCTCGTAAAACCATCTCTATTTCGTCTCTTTCACCCCTTCTCAAACAGTCAACATATCAGATCCATCATTCTCTATTTATCCACTTTACGAGCCTAAAACAATTGTCGCAAAGTACGACAAACATTCCGCATTCCGCATTGTCCTTTCAAAAGTCAATGCTTTCCCTTGCCTCGGCCACGGCATCTTCTGCGTCGTGGCCCATGACAACCGACCAGATCGCGCCTACTCACAAACTTGGTGATCTTCTGCTCTCGGCGCTTAAACTTGCGCCTGCTTCAGCTACTGAGCGACGTACGAGACGGTCACATAGTCGTGGCGTTCTCGCATTAGTAGGAGCTCTTACACTGGGTTTGTGGCTTCTTCTGACGCTTGGAGAGCTGCCACCACGTGTACATGACGTCGTAGACGGGTTTCTACTCGTCTCGTGCACTGGCGCTTGTTATCTGGGCGTCTGTTACGTGCTGAGACACGTTCCATGGGCTGCAGATGTTGCTAATCTACTATTGGACCGTTCGGATCCACGTTCGTGGCCGAGAGAAAAGCGTCGACTGTTTCTTGAAGTTTCTGTGTGGATTGCAACTGTCCTGTCATTGTATACAGCCTCACACTCGAGGTGGATCGCTGTAGGCGCTGGAGCAAGTGTGGCACTTGTACTGGCATGTGTGAGTGATTTACTGGCGGCATATTTACATCTTTTGGAGACAAGACAGCAGAGGAGTAGGAATGAAGGCATGTTGTGGCTCAAAATGGTGCTGTTTTATGTCTATGTGGGGTACATTATTAAGGACACAGGGGTGCACGGTTGCGTGTTTGGAGAACAGAACGAGGATGAAAGACAGCGGTCAGTGGACCAATTGGTGCTCAGTTATCTGCGGATAACGCTGGTCGGTGTGTTGCTCTTTATAGCATGTGAGCTGCTGCTTTTGTGCACGCTTGCTCGTCAAGCTAGTAGTGTACTCCACGGACGAATTGTTGGAACTAGAAATGATTGGCAACTGCATCCACTGCGGTCACTAGTTGAGGTCACAGGAACGATTGGAGCTTCAGCCTTCTCGTATAGCATTTCAAAGGACGTGCTGCTGTCCTTGCAGCTTGGAACATTTTGTGGTATCCTTCTTATTTTCAGTAATGAGTTGTTGGCTTCAGCAAGCGGGTCGCATTTTGTAAGCCCGCAGACGGATGTGGAAATGCCTGCTGACCACTGGGTGAAGCTCGTTCCGGTGGTCGTGATGGTGCTGCACTTTTTCTCCCTAGTGTGTGCTGCAAACGTGCCTTCGAGTTCATTGGCGCTTATACTATACTTCATTGTCGTGGCTGCTGTCACACTCAATGTTCTCGCACTTTCCGGCAGAAAACCATCTTGGATGGAGCTTGGAAGACAGTTGGCAGCCAGTATCTGTGTCAGTATCATCACACTTATCGCACCTAAGGTCTCTCATGGACTACCAGGGGTTGTGTTTTCCTGCGTACTATCGACTTTCTGCATCGCGTTTTCGAGGGAATGCTGGGACGATATTGAAGTGAATGAAGGGGGTCATGTGCGAGTGTTCACACGTGCTGACTACTGTCCGTCACAAGCTGCTGATATTTGCTTACCTGCAGCAACAAATGCGAACTGTCCGAGTAACGCGCTACAGCCATGGTCTGCTCGGGCTTTGGGCATTGTAAAAGATCGTTACCCTCACTTTTACAAGCGGGTAAAGTGGACATTTGTGGGTATCATGATAGTGTCAACTCTTGATATGTGCTCGACATTTATCGCGGTGATTAACAATGATAAGGTAGCGCTCTCGCTTTCGCAGTATTCCGCAATCAACGTCGTCGTTTCGGCGTCAGTGGGGTACCTGACGAGTCCAGCTCCATATAAGGTCCATCCTGCTGTGTTGCTCCACACAGGTGTGAAACAGTTCAAAAACAAGTGGGTTGTTTTTCCACTTCACGTGTTCGTCGAGGCGCTGGTTTTCGCTGGAGTTTTTGTTGGCACGTTTGCAGCTACATCGACGGCATTCAGCTCATTCACTCTCGCTGCGCTATCGGGTGTTGTGGTATCCGTTGGCGGCCACTCAGCATGCACACGCCTCCACCTTTCTGCTGGCACCTACATGCGCGTTCAGCGAACAGCAACGTGCGCGCTGCTTTTTTATTGGTTCTTAATAACGTATGCTTCAATGGTTTCCCTGCTGTCTATCTATCAGTACTTTGACAGTATTGAGGCGGCTTTCTGTCTTGCATCGTTCGCTGGCATATTCTTTTTGGCGGCAAGCGATCTGTTTCTGATGTGGGAACCAACACGCGAGGTTGGATTGCTGCTTCAACGTCGCGTTACGCACGCGAAAGAAAACTGGCAGTTGGAGCCGCTGCGCTCTTTCTTGGAGGTTTTCACTTGGCTTGCCGTTGTATGGGGATCATTTGCAATCTATGGTGACCTTTTGTTAGCGCTTCAGCTTGGGACATTCTCAGGAATTGTTGTCACGCTTTCTGGAGAGCTATTCCGAAAAAACCGGTCAAAGCTAATCCCATGGGGCCAAAGTCTACTCAAGAACGGCGAAACGATCACTGCACCAATGTCGCTGCTTGGAGTACCCTGCTGTGATGTAACTGAGACAGATCGCGCTCGACCACTTCCTGTGATGCTCTTTTTTGCATACATAGGCTCGGGCACATTTCAGTGGATCTTCGAGAATGTACGTAGTCTTGAAGTCACAGTCCTCCTTGCAACCATGGCTGGAATTGCTTTCTTGTGCTTTGCCGATATGCTTGTGCTGTTTACGCCAACTCGCTGGGCAGGAGTGATCTTGCAGGACCGCTTTATTAACATAAAACACAATTGGCATGTGTATCCGGTGCGGTCTTTTGTCGAATTTGGCTGCTTCATGGGGGTTATCTATGGTAGTTACGCAATCTACCATGACCTAATCGTCGCAGTTCAAGTGGGTACTTTATCTGGAATGTTGGTGACTCTCGGTGGGGAACAAGTGCGATGTTGTGCGCGGGCTTTTCCGATGAATGGTACGACTTTGCAATACAGGCTTTGCCAGTTCTATCATACTGATGGTAATCGTGTTGTTGTGTACAGAAGCCGAGAAGATAGAATTAGAAAAAACACAGATTCTTCCGCTTCCTGTAATGAGCCTACTAGGACTTGTCGGAGCCGTGGCATTCAACATTATTTACACCCATCTTCACAGCATTGAGGTAGCATTTGTCCTTGCCACCACGAGCGGAGTAATTTTCGCTCTGGTTGGTGATATGTTCGTCATCTGGAAGCCTACACGCATGGTTGGAATGATTCTTCAGAAACGCTTATTGTACTTAAAAACAAACTTTTCAAGTCACATGCGGCGTTCATCGATGGAGGTGGCTTCACTGTGCGGTGGCTGGTACATCTCCTATGACTTTTTGTGGCCAGGGGATCTTCTTATCGCCATTCAGTTTGGTACGACGATTGGAATTGGTATGTGCGTCTGTGGAGAGCTTGCGATGAAGTTCGTTGCTGAAGCCGAACGCCGTTTGATCGCAGATGTCTCAGCCAGACTCGCGCATGAGTAAGTGGGTTGGTATCGGAAATTGCTAGGTGTTGGTTAACGACATCTTGTTTTTTATGATTGCAGCTCACAAAAGGACAGCATCTTTCTCAACCTGCCGTACGAAATTCAGTTTGAGGTGGCACTCTTCTTGGCAGCTGAAGATCTTTTGGTTGCTCGGGCTACTTGCCACAAGGTTAACAACATGCTGAAAGCAGAATCTGCTCGCTTTTGGTTGCATGCAAGCCTGAGACGAACATTTCGAGACCACACAGGACGCTCTCGAGCTCATAGCATTAGCCATCGGATGGGTAGCCGTGCCCGATCGCTGGTGTATGAGGCCATCACGCTTGTGCTGCCCAAAATCGTTGGAGCCAGGTACCTAGTGAAGAGAACCAGCAGAAATAGTTAGTATAGTGTGTACTTACTATTCGCGCTTCTATTATGTGATGTCTTCGATGCAACAGGGATCCGGCTCAAGTGCTTACGTCCAGCAATGAAGTGAATCGTGCACTGAAGTGGGTGTACTTGAACGCCGACTGGATCCGGAATCAAAAGCTTCCACCTTTGGCGGAAGAAGATGAGATCGAAGGCGCCACTCTCATCTCGTAGGTCGCTTGTACTTTTGATCGGTTTGCTGTAGATTGGTTGTTAACAAGTTGTGACGTGTTGGGTGTGCAGCTTAGCTGAAGGAGACGGTGCCTTTGACGTATTCCGCTATATGCCCGACAAGGTACAGTATTGTATCTTTGTATGACGGGTGCTCTCGTACTTCGATGTACCAACTGACATGTCTCTCGTGCATCCAGAGCTCTTTGGGGATCATTATATCGCGCGATGAAAACTATGCCATTGAACGTGTCGAAGTGCCGAAAGGAGTTTATGACACGATCCAACGAGACCCGTTAAGCTTTGTGGCTGCAGAGACCCTCTCTACGTTAGAGGTTTTTTCAAATTGGTACCTCACGATGGTAGCTTTCGCTACAATGACATTCATTTTCATCGGACAATTTTCGAGCGATCTGCTTCGCTCATACGTCCTTCCCGAGTCGTTCACATGGTGGGGAGTAAGATGAAACTTTCACACTGTACATCCAACAAATATTATGGTAAAGATTAAATATTACTTAATGTATCGCAGATTCTCTGATTCAACGCCGTCGCTAGTCACTGGCTCCTATTTCATTGTGATAAAACTCTTGTGTTCTACGTCTAAAGTAGAATCGTCAATGACGATTATATCAAGTGTTTTGTCTCACTACTGACCTTTTAGTATCTGACGTTCCTGGTGGTTTGGTAAAATGGTTCAGTTCCCTGAAACTGAGAGCATGCGATATACAAATTGGCTGCATGGTCGTCGTCGATTCGACACGTAGTGAATGTAAGCTATATCCATCCTTGATGAGCATGTACGGACAAATCTAGTGCTTATATCCAGTAGGTCGAGAATGATCAGTATCGTGCATCAAAGGAAGCAGATTAAGAGGCTTGCATGTTGAAGTTTTAAAACCTTATTGTTTACAGATGAGCGGAACAAAAAGACATCAAGAGGACATGGCCAGAAGTCGTCAGATCGTACACGCTACAATGTAATGTAGGCAATCGTAGTCTAAATCAGTGGAAACGTCTCAGGTCGCGCCTGTATAAACAAGCTGTAAGAATGGACGTTGGAAGCTCTTAGTTCTGCACCTTAGCGTTACTTAGGAGTGGAAATGGAAGGCCGCTACAGAGGAAAACAGATGGCACTGCCACTTATGGATCATATAATATCTTTTTTGATTCATAACGAATTTTTTTGTCCTGGTCGACGACTGACGGAAAAGTAACGACTGGACAAGTTGAAGTAAATCTTAAGGACAAGCCTGATTGGCCCGAGCCCTTTGCGCAATCGATCGACGTCGTCGGTGTCACAGGCACCGAGGATTTAACGATCAAGGGGTAGGGGCCCTCCGACACCGCAGTGCCACAAGAACTTTTTGACCCCGGCTCAGAAGAAAACGCAATGGGTTGGAATTTCTACAACCACAAGAACGTTGCTCGGTGGACTCTTTCATGATAAAGTCACTATCTCATCGCAAAAACAAAGCAGCCCCAACATTAAAACGGCCACCACGAGCGCAACGCAATGTGCTCGCAGCTCGAAAGTGACGGCTCTTGATGCAGTCGTTTCGCGGAAATCTAGAGATTCGCCGCATTTTTGTATAAGTATACTCCGACACAAAAGTCGCCAATGTCGCATACTTTAATAGAAGAGTAAGATTCAATACGGACAGTGCATAGCCGTGCGTGAGACATAGACTACTATTGTCGCCATTGCTGACGTCGTTGTCATTCGACCGTTTTCTTTCCTCTGTTCGTATCTGCTGCTTCGTTGCTTACACGCATTCAGCAGCCCGCCTCACTCTCTTTCCCTCTTTCATCCATGTCTCCCGTAGCCGACACATCACCCGCAACTTTATCGTGCGTTTTGAATGAGACGGACTGGAAGTTGCAGCGCAAACTCAAGCACCACCAGCGCGATGTCGGTCGTCGCACGGCTGAAAGCCGCGCAGAGCCACGCTATAAGCATCACGTGCATCATCAGCATCGTGCCAATGTCATGCGTCTCGAGAAGGATGCGTGGCTGCCGACGCCTACTAAGAGCGCACGTTGCAGCATCCCGCGGGAGGCAAACGCTTGGCAACTGAATTGCTCCGGAGTACCCGCGACCTCGTGGCCCCCGGCAACAATCATCGCCGAGGAGCTCGAAGAGATACCATATGGTATGGACACGGTCTCGCTCGCGTCGTCAGCGCCGTCAATTGCGGTTGCAGGAAAGTTGAATGACCACAGACGAGAGATGCGGCCATTGACGCTGTTTGAAAGTGCACGTATCTTTAACGAGTCCGGTCAATTGCTCAGTCACGATAATTTTGACGAGATGGGGTCATCGCCCGAGGTGATCGGCGAGGGAACGCCTAAACGCAAGTCTAAGCGCCGGGTGGGGCGCCGCAGACACGAAAACAAGCGCGCTAACGTGGAGGACGTTTTCAAAGCCGATGAAGTGGTCCTGGAGCTCATGTGTCTATTGTTCCCCGATATGGATGTAACCCAGGAGCTCAATCTACTGCTTCTAGGTGGTGTCCAACACGAGAATGTCTTTCACTTTGACGAGGACGACATTATCGATATCCCGGCGGCTCGCAAACCACAGAGCGGCGTTCTAGACATTGATTTGCTAAAGTTTCAAGCCGCACTAGAGATCATGCTGTTTAACTCGGACATGTCGATCCAAGAGTTGCCAGCTCGTGGTACACCTGTAGAGACACTACAAGAAATGTACTTTACACCGCAATGGATTGCACACGAGATGCTGACGATGGTGAAGCTCGACATCCTAGCTCAGTACGACCGGTTTGCAGTGATAAATGCGATCTTCCGCACGATCGCGGGGTTACGTTCTTGTGTGATGGCAGCAGCTGCGTCGGCTGCCCTCGCAATTTTTCAGCACCAAGGCTTGGTAGAGCTTAACCCCTGCAATTCTGGCAAGGACCTTGTCACCATCAAGGGCATTGTTGGATTTTTGAACGCAGCAATGGATGTCATTGAACGGGATGCACGATACAATGCTGAAGTGTTCGGTAGCAGCGATGGTCAGATCCGTGACACCATCGCCGGATTATGCGACCACATGATGCGCGCGATCCGACTACTCGTTCGAAGCTCGCCTGGAGGTGATGGCAACTCTGATTCCAACCGGAACCAACTGGAGAAATATGCAGAATGTAGCGACTCGGTGGAAGCGACGACATACCGCGCGGTGGGGGAGCTAGTAAACCGGATGGCCGCATTCTCCCCGATACACGGCGAGAACTTTTTGCGTTGGATGTTACTCAAGTGGCCTCACCGCAATGTTCAGCTGCAGTTGTTTTTCGTGAGGTATACATCGGGTCTGCTCTCGCAGTTTCTACAGCTTGGTCTTATGCTCCCCGCAGAGATCGTGTGTCGCGTCTTCACACGCATCCAGGCCTGCATCCAGTCGACGCATTTCCTGGTGGCACAGGAGGCATGCAACATGTGCGGGAACTTCCAGCTTATGAGCATGTATGTATCGTGCGACCAGGTGCTGCGTGAAAAGATTGCATCTGCACTGCATGAGAATGCCACGTCCCATTGGAACAAGCGTATTCGAGAGATTTCCGACGAGTGTTTTGACATGCTGTTAGATTTGGCATAATAAAACGGACATTGACACACGTAGAGACGAAGGATTCAAGAAAAAAAAACATAGAGAAGATACCACATAGGCATAGAGCCTTGTACAAAACGTTAGAGTGCAAGTATGATACACACGTCACAATTGAAGCATCTAATTCTCTTGTTTTTCAACTATTTTCGGTCCTACTTTGTATACACACATTGTCCAACAGCTTTGACAGTTTGTCAAGTTTTTTTGTCCATCGATCTGACACATCACTTGTATTACTACTACTTTTGGTTGTACATGAAGTACATAGAGTACACTTTGTCACGCTATTGTGCTACTATGTAGTGACTGATGGAGCTGTTGAAGTGGCAAAATGGGTACTTTTTCAACTTGGTAAAATCCAAGCGGCGATATTCTAAAAAGTCTTGTAAAATTCAGATCAAGATATATAATTGCAATAAATTAAGTTTAGCGACCTTATTACGTCGAAAATGTACGTGCATACGTAAGTCAGCTCGTACTAAAATCATCGTTATAATCAGGAAACTGACTTCTTACCGCTACTTCAGCAGTCACATTAAAGCGCCAGCAATTATCAAGACCGAGTCCACGAGCAGCTCAATAATTCCACGCCAAGTGTCTTCTCTTTACGAAGCAGGACAAAAGCCAGTGGATTGACTGCTAGTAGTACTTGCTCTTCCACTTCAATTGATACATAACTCTATATTTTTATATTCAACTTACGCGCTGTAGTTGAGGCAATAAGCTTTAAAAAGGTCGAGACTCTCTTGTGTCTTTGGCTACAGCAGGATACAAGAACAGATGCAACAACAGGATTATCGAAGACATTGGATAGGTCAAAATAGCAGGATATCAAGCAGACGAAGGAGGTGGTGGGTCCATAGAGTTGCAGTCTGGATTACAGCAATGATGATGATGGTCGTGCCAGCCTCATTTGCATTAGTACAAGAAACACACGTGATTGCACAATGTCGGCACTGGAAGAACAATTCATGCATCTTTTCACCATTGGATCCCGTGTGCTTTACAGGATTAAAACTTGCACAACAAACTGTGTGTAAGGTATGCAGAAGTTGATCCATGGGATCAAATTTTGAAATGCCTGAAAAAATCAATTTATATATTGTATGCTAATGATCATGTGTTGTGTGTATTGCTGGGCTTGAATGCAGGCAGATTTAACTGTAGCAGTCAAGCAGATTGACTGGCAATCGTCTACTGGTGGGCGTGGATCAGTAGACAGTCTCCTCATCAATGGCGTCGAAATGCTGCCGTCCCCAGTACACCCGTCCCAAATGTATATGATAGCAAATTATCCTCATTGTGATGACATGTTTAATATTTTCCCACCCTGGGGAAATGGAATTATTGGACCAGAAGGACACAAGTCGATCATTCCAGAGATTACCAGTGACAGCTTGTCAATATCAATTCACTATAGCTGGAACGGTCCTCACGATGATTTTCCCGTATGTTCTATGGCTGGTGTCTCCATTGCGGGCTATGCAGAAATCAATATTTATCTCGAGGCGCAGGAAAATGCAGGTGTGATATCGTGCACAGTCCCGACATTCATGATGTTGGTCTTGCTCATAAGTCCGTACTGTTTCCTTCACCTTACTAACTTTTTTGGTGTGCAGTTTGTCCAGGATGGGATGGCGCCTCGCACATCGCTTGCTTCGGTAATGGCGATTGTGTCTGTGCTGCAAACGATATAAGTCCACGTATCTGTTCATGCGTGTATGGTACCTATATTTGTTGCTAAAGTTTGATAAAAGCAGATTGACAATATTGCCGTGATAATACTGGTGTTTTTGCAGAACCGGATATGCTGCTCCAGATTGCCGCGACTGCGACAGCGGATTTTTCGGTAAGCAATGTAAGCAAACCTGCGAGCCGTGCCTCAACGACGGTCTTTGCGATTCAGGCTTGCTGGGCTCAGGAAAGTGTATGTGTCTTGAGGGGTTTAACCCAGATACCCGGTGTGCAACGTGCTTGACCGGATATTTTGGAGAGAAATGCGAGCGGTGTCCGGATTGCAACTTTCCGCACGGAAATTGCGATGACGGTCTAACAGGCAGCGGTCGCTGCGCATGTGCCGTTGGCTTTGACTCAGATAACAACTGTATGGAGTGTATGAACTCTTTTTTTGGACGGACATGCCAGCCATGTAAACCTTGCGATGGCGGCAAGTGCAATTTTGGTCTTCTTGGTGATGGAGAATGCGTGTGTGCCGAAGGATTTTCATCCGAGTCACGGTGCCTTGAGTGCGAGAGGGACTTTTATGGACCGTCGTGCACTCCATGCCGCACATGTAATAACCATGGCCACTGCAATGACACCAATTCTGGTGACGGAGGATGCCTGTGCGACGAAGGTTATACCCCTGAGAGTCGATGCTCTCTTTGCGACGACGGCTGGGATTTTAACCCAATGACTATGTCATGCCAGTGTGCACCGCAGCATTTTGGAGCCCATTGTCGGTCATGTCCAATCTGTGCCCCGCACGGGCACTGCAACTCTGGGGTCGATGGAGACGGGCGGTGCATCTGCGATGTTGGATGGTCCGACTCAAACAACTGCGTGGGATGCATGAGTAGCTACTACGGCGAGACTTGCATTTCCTGTCGCAAGTGTGGTGAAGGACGTTGTGATGATGGATTGTATGGCACGGGTAAGTGCAATTGCCACCGCGGCTGGGACTCCCTCACAGACTGCTACGATTGCGAAGAAGGTTTTTTTGGTGAGAATTGCCAAGAGTGCCCGTACGACTGTGGTCATGGTACTTGCTCCAGTGGCCTTAACGGGACTGGAGAATGTTTGTGCCATGAGGGTTGGAAACTCGAAGGAAAACTTCCTTGTACCAGTTGTGCCGAAGGCTACATTGGACCAACTTGCCAATTGTGCCCAGCGTTTATGGAGAGTGAAATAGCTTGCAGCGGTCATGGTCAGTGTGTCCTATCAGGGACGCAAGCAGTATGTCGCTGTGATGCTCGCTACGGCGGCGATGGCTGTGAATCATATGATTTTCCGTTTGCAATGGTCGCCATTCTGGGCACCATTGCACTCTCAACGTTAGGTTTCTGCATGTGCACCATGCGTCGCCTTGCCCGCCAGCCACATGCCTTTCAGGGGCCATTCCTGAACCGTGGAAACAGCTTCTCGCAGTCCGAGTACGTTGAGATTTCGGATATGGCGGACCTAGAGTACTTTGTCTCCAACGACAGTCGCGACTGGCTCATCCCGTTCGATTCACTATCACTACAGCGCGAGGTGGGTAATGGAACATCTGGCCAGGTTTTCCGCAGTTTGTTGCACAGTGGCGGCGGCAGCTCAGTGGTAGCTGTCAAACGACTGTACAGTCCTGTGACCGGCCAGGAATATTTTCAGAGCTTCTTTCGACGTGAGGTTAGCATTTTGAGTCGTCTGCACCACCCAAATGTCGTGCGCTTCTATGGTGTGAGTTACTACAACCGCGTGTTGTATATCGTGACAGATTTTTGTCCTAGGTCATTGAGTGCACTCATTGAGAATCCAGCAGCCAAAGGCCCTTTAGAAGAATCCGTTTTCATGAAAGTGATTAGCCAGATTGTAAGCGGCATGGGCTTCTTGCATAGTCGTCACGTCGTACATCGTGACCTGAAGCCTGCAAACGTGCTCATTTCAGAGACAGACGATATCAACATTTGCGATTTCGGTCTGTCGCGGCTTATCGAGCCGGATGCTACAACCATGACCGCAGAAGTTGGTACGCCAAGTTACATGGCACCTGAGATGGCTACCATGGGTGGTATCCAGTGCTCTACAAAAGGTGACGTGTATTCGTTTGGCATTTTGCTTTACTCCACCTGGTCTCGTAGTAAGCCCTACGGTGATCAAGGCATGAATCCGTTCCAGCTGGTACGTATAGCGTTGCTCATCTCACACTGCTGCTCGGTGACCAATAATCCCATAACACTCTTACGATGTGTGTCTTTTATGTTGTACGCAGATGACGGCAGTCGTGAATGGTCTTCGACCGGTGATTACGATTAATTGTCCGCCCGCTCTGGCACGTCTGATGCGATCATGTTGGCATGAAAACCCGGATATACGTCCTTCGTTTCCGGAGATTAGCCAAATTCTAAAGGACCAGTGGCTCCTCTCCATGTTCGGTGAAAATGAGGAGGAATACTATTACCCTGAGACCCTTGGACGTGTGCCGTCTTCGCAGCTCTTGTCGGCTTCCTCGTCCATGTCTACAATCGCTGCCGCAGCTTCTAGCCACCGCTGCGGCAGTAGAGATGATGCCAAAGCGATATCATCGTCAGCGTCGCCTCACCGCAGCGGTAACTGTAAGACCTACCAAGAAGAAGAAGAAGAAGCCGCCTCCCCTCGAGAAAATGATCACCTTTTAAATGAAGAAAAGCGGCCACGATAGATTTTTATGACGACTAAATAGACTTGTGAAGCACAACATCTCTCGGCATCGTGTCAGCATTTTGCTAAGTGTATTTACCGAAGCAGACGCCGCATGTTGCGGCCCCTTGCTAGTGGACGACGTTTGTAATACTTGCGATGTGCTTCACGCAGATGACGTGGACGAATAGGCCCCGTCTCACCATTCTTCTCCATAATCTTCCGTGCTATCAAAAGAGACACGCCATCAATCTGTTGCACGCGACCAACCTATACTATCACCCTTTTTTCAACATAGCTTCACGCACCTTCTGCCGTGATCTCACCGACAAACACCTTGGTCATACCAGCCATGACAATAGCCATGACATTGGTCACACCAGGCACTCTTTTTTCCGTAGCTGTGCACTCTTGAATCGCTTGAGCCATACACTACAACAGCACCACACTCCGCTTATAAATAAACGAACCCATGTTATCGTTACTTCAGCCTACCAAGCTGCACGTACTCGTTTAATGGCTCCACGCTCAAAGTGCGAGCGTCGAAACTGCTCATGACGTCTTGTATCATCCTCTGATAATTGTTGCATCATGCGTAACATTGACGCACTGTCCGAGACCTCGACCTTGTCCTCGTCACTGTCCACCTCTTCTTCGTCTTCTTCGTCGTCAACGTCCTCGTCCGCAGTAATTTCCTGCAAATCATCATCTGTCCTGACATCTCCATGCTGCAATACAGTCATCTTCTTCTCATTCTCGTCCTCTTCTGTATCCTGTGACACGCTGTGGTGCGTCATGTCAACGTCACTCTTCATGTGAGCAGCTCCACAGTCTATTTGTGCGACTACTTTAGGAGCTTTGTGCATTTGTTTATGTGGCAGACATAAATGACAGAGTAGCTGTCATCAATTGGCCTTTTTACTGTTCGATTGGAACGAAACACGCAGCAACTGTATCACTTTATTACAGTCATTACGTTTTTCCCACTAATGTTCCAGTGTCTCTGTGTGTGTATCAATGTGCTTTTCATCGGCCTCGGTATCGTTGGCATTAGTGTCGGACGATAGCGACGTACTGGCGAATGTATCCACTACGCTGTCTTTTGTTTCCTCTTGGTCATGTTTCCACTCTTCCTTGCGTTTTGCGTATTCCAGGAGCCCCTGCATAATCTGCAGACGGTGTTCCTCAATCTCCATAATGCGTGCCAAGGCCGTTTCCTCAACGCGACCCATTTCCGTTGTCTCCGAGGCGATCGTTGATACAGCGGCCATGATGGATTCTACTGTAGCAGCAGCATCCGATGCTGCTTCAAGCTGCACGAGGAGCTGCATCAACTTGTTGGTAAGCTTGTCCACTGCCTGGGCTAATGTCGGGTCGTGAACTTGTATTGGGCTTCGCTTCGTGGCTAGAAAGACCGCACGGTCGTTAGAGAACGAATGACAACTCCACCGAGACAAACGTGCTTACCTGCTCCATCGTTCAGCCCAAGAGCAGAGAATTGAGCAGCAAAATTCATTTAGCTTCGATGAAAAGTGTCATCACTGAAAAAAGAAATGTGCTTACCTGCTCCGTCACCTAGAGACAAGCGCAGACAATCGTGCAGCAGATTCGTAGTTAGCTTAGATGAATAATTACCAAACCACTGAAAACATATATGCTTACTCGCTCTATCGCGCAAGGGCAGCGAGTTGCGAAGTAGACTATATGTCCGCTTGGCATTTTTCCCCTTCATCGAATTCATAGACGCCGCTTGCTCGTTAACGTGTCGAGCGCCAGAAGCGGCGGCCATGGCTAATGCATCCAATGCTTCGTAGTCATTTCTAGACTGCATCGCAGTGGTACGCAGAGGTTCCGCCGACGTCAACTTCATCTTTTTTGCAGTTGAGGCGGAATACACGTGCCGCAACCTGTCTGAATATTCCTTATGGGCAGTCACAGTTGCCGCTTCTAGCTGATCCACTCGTTCATTGAAGGCCTGTTCCACCATCCTAGCTTTTGCCTTCTCCGCTATCTTAGCGCTACTCTCTGGGTCCATGTTAATGCCATCGATCTCCATCAAACGGGCGATGGACGCGCGAATCCGACCACTCCAATCACTATCCCCGTCTGAGCTAGCTGATGCTTCTACATGCACTTGGTCTTCATCGCTTTGTTGTCCTTTAACCATATTGGTAGCGTCCTAGAACGTGCCAAGGTATTTCAATACCAGGTGAGGGCGAGGGCAAGGCTGAAGAAGATGAAGAAGAAAACGCACCTGATCGGCGTGAAAAATATCTCCTCGCATGTCGACTATAGAGCAAGGCTGCTCGTCTATGATGACCCCAACACAATGAAGAAGACGAAAGGAAGAGCAGAAACAACAAGCGCTAGCGTCAGAGCTTCGAAAGTAGCTTATCCCGCAAGTATCTAATCATATATTCTTCTAGTCTTCCAGTCAATGTAGTGACCTCACCTCGAGTAGCAGTGACGCTATCGTCTTCTTGTTCGAATTGTGTGACAAGGGGGTGCTTGGTGTAGCTTTGGTTCGTGTCCGACTCGTTGTTCCGCTCCATGTGGGGGGATCGAATACTTACTGCACACCCAATGGCAAATCCTGACTTTACTCTTGAAACTTGTTCGAGACAGACCGAAACAGTGTTTCAAGAGGATATAATTAGGCCGACGGAAGTCGCAACAGACAAATGGCTCAGCTGCAACTTCCTCTTACCGTCTGCGCAACACTCAGTGGCTGCACTTTTGTTAATGGCTGGAAAAAGAATTTGAGAATACCATCCATGTAAGAACGTTGGCCCTGTTTCACGCACCAACACGCTCTTTGAACTCTATGCAATCAGGCAGATTGGCATCCAATCATCTGATCATCATTTGCTGTATTCTAGGAGATGATTGTAGGCAACTTGAAGCATCTCAACCAATCCATGATCATCACTATATCAGCAATTGGTCAGTGCTTGGTCTGTTTGATCAATGCAGATAGTTTTTTCTGGGACGCCATCCGAAGTGCTCGACAAGTTCAAGCGGAGCGAAAGCAGTGGTGAGAATGTAAATCCCTCCTTTAAGTGCTGAAGCATAGCAGCTTTCGAGCATTCTGGCCGTGTAAAATTGACGTACACAGCTCAAAGTTTGGAGCCCAAGACGGAGCCAGTCGTGCATTGACTTCAAGTGGAGTACCCGTGCAAGGTTTTTTTTGTGTGGGGGAAACAGATTGTCGATTATTCGTTATGGTTTACGAGATTTTCTGGAAAGACTACAGCTATTCTAGTACCCGAGCTGTAAGTCGCTCGAACATTCTTGTGCTCCTGGGTGTACAAGTGTGTAAGAGTCAAGAGTGTCTTCGTAAATATCGGAGACGTAACTTCTGGTCCGACCTGGTGGTCACGAGATTACGACAAACTGGGCCTCAGTTGCTCGTCTTCAGATTTCATTCCCGAAGCACGTGACTAGACTTCAAGGCAAATGTCAGCGGTTGGTGGAATCTTTGCTGAAGAAAGTCGGTGTGGAGTCCCTCAACTTTCGGCAGGTGGAATGCGCCACGACGTTTTCTTCGGTACCATCGTCTTGAGCACGTAGGTCGCTAAACTGCTAGTGCAAATGCTATCATGTTCGGTCATTTTGACGCTCCACGCTTTGTAGTCGAAGAAGATGCTTTGGCTGCTGAAAAAAGAAGCCAGGGCGTTGTTGGAGCTGTTGCCTACATCTCCACCGAAGCTATTATCTGCTGCAGCAGCTCACCAAGATGTGGCGAATGAAGCAGCAACCTGATGTCAATGTCATTGACAACGATATATGAACTATCAGTTGCACCTGTATACAGATAAATAGCTGCTGAAGAAGCTACAACCTGGAAAAAACTACAAGCTAGATGGATATTGTGCGTCGGTGCAAGATCGAAGCTTCATTGACGTACAGTTCGAGAGGTCGTCTTCACGGAGCTATCAAATGCCATGCTCTGGTTGTTCAAGACCTACCGCCGAACAACCAGAGATACAATACGAGCCCAAGTTGTGATGCGTTTCATTCGACTGATTGACTCCGTGACATTTTCGAAGTGTCGAACACCTACCGCAGAAATCAGCACTTCATAGATGCAAGACCCAGCCAGCATGAACGAAATTTTCCATCCGTTCATCCGTTATGTCTCACATGTCGCACAAGGAGGGTCTATACCTACAAAAAGAACGCGTCTTGCCAGTCGGCATTCACTCAAAACTCGCCAGGATGCCACTGGTGAACAAGAAGCGTAGCTTGGAGAATTTGCAGCGCGCACTGCGGGAGGAGGCAGCGTGGAAGGACTCGAACCGGTTTGCGCAGTTTGTGGCCAACGTGGTGGGCGGCATTGTTGTGGTGCTTGGTCTGGGTAGCAAATTAGCTGTCGTACTGTTTGCACGGCTTGCCGACGCCCCAGCGCATCTCGACGAGTATGTGCAATACTGTAGGGGTGTTGTGGTGGTTCTTGGGAACGACGCGTTGGCAGAGTTTCGGATGGTGGTTCAAAGTCTCCGATACATTAAACTCGAGAACTTGTCGGACCCGCAGGTAGTCGCGCGACCATTGGTAGGGGCGGCTATTGTCAGTACTGTCGTGCTGCTCGTGTACAAATACAAGCGGGTGGGGTGGTTCTGCGGTCTGCAAGTGGTGATTATCTTGCAATGGATTGTTGCACTGTATCAGATGGCACGCATTGTGCTCTCGCTTTCGTTGTATGTCACTGTGAAAGTAGTGAAGCAGCTTCTCTTGGTAGCGAGAGGCGTGTTTGTGGGGCTCTTTTGCGTGCGTGACAAACAAGCTGAGAGGTTGCGTCGACTCATGAAGACGACTAAAAGCTACCAGGAGTGGAAGCAAATGGCACAATATCTGGACGTACTGGAAGGTAAAGATGACTGGAAGACTACAATTCGGGCTCAAGACACGGAACATTGCGACTTCATGCAGATGCGATGCAACGTTGACACGTTGACACGTACGCTTGACGGTGGAGACAAGATCAATGTAAAGGAGCTATGCTATGTCGTGGCTTCGGTGGTTATGCGCAATGAATTGGGTGTCGATTCACCTAGTCTGCATCTGGAATGTAACTCTGGTACTAAGACGGCGATAACGAGATATAATGCGTTAGTGATCCGCGCATTGGATACGCTTGCGGAAATGAGTGACGAGAAGTTTCCTCATGCGGAAAAACTTCGGTACTTTCAGCGGATGAAGCAATCGTTCGGGTCGACGGCATTGTGTTTGAGCGGTGGCGGATCTATTGCAATGTATCACATGGGGGTTATACGCACGCTGCTTGAGGCAAATGTACTACCGAATGTCATTTCAGGCTCCTCAGGTGGCTCTATCATTGCGGCCTTTACTGCGTGCAGGACAAATGAAGAACTCTTGAATGAAGTCTTGGTCAGCGATATCTCGACGCGTTATTTCCCATTTGGAATCCGCTGGTTCCCACCGCTTCTTGAGCAGCTCGCGCATTGCGTAAAGACTGGCTTCCTCGTGGCTTCATCCGACTTCGAGCGCACGACAGAGCACTACTACAGTGAGCCCATGAATGCCGAAGAGAAGACTATGTGCTACACGTTTCAGGACGCTTTCCTGAAGACAGGTCGCCATGTGTGTATTACAGTTTCAGCGTCCGATATCACGGGTCACAAAGGTCCAAAGAAGCTGTTGTTGAGTCATATCAACACGCCGCACGTACTTCTTTGGAGTGCCGTTGCGGTGTCTTGCTCTTTACCTGGCATTATGAAAGGAAAACAACTTATGGCACGAGATTTTCAAGGAGATATCGTTCCGTACGCGTCCCTGAGCAAGGAGTGGGTGGATGGTAGCATTCAGCACGACTTGCCCATGGAGACGATGGCCAGCGGCTTTGATGTGACCAATTTCATCGTTTCTCAAGTGAATCCTCACGTCGTACCGTTCGTCAGTGACGAGATCGACAAACCGAGCAACAACAAGAGCATCTTTTACAAGCTCGAAAGCGTTATTGCTGGCGATGTGCGTCATCGACTCAAGATGTTGGCGTTCCTAGGCCTCTTTCCGAAAATCTACGGGCACCAGTTCAGTTCATACTTTCAGCAGAACTTTTCAGGAAACGTGACAATTATTCCAGACTTTCGTTTCCTCGAATCGATCGGCATCAAAGCCATTCTGAATCCCACCATGCAGGACATGATACATTACATCAAAGGTGGTCAGCGTGCCGTGTGGCCCAAGTTGGCCTACATTCGCCACCTTTGTAGCATTGAAAAATGCCTTGATCATCATCTGGAGAAAATGGCCGGTGCCTCTGCAAACTCGTACAAGTGGCTGCATTAAGTGCCACAGAGACTGCAGAAGACGTAGAGAAAACGACAAAGAAGAGCACTGCAGCAGTGCTCAATAAAGCTGCATGTAAGTAAACTGAAATTGCACTACACTACAGTCTACCAGCGCATCTTCATATTCAATGTACTGGATATTACGGCATTCTCACCACGATGCACCGTTAGCGATGACTTGGATTAGCAAGTGCTTCTTTGTCATGAATAGCTCTCCACTACAAATTTGATCAGTTTCAGTATCGAATGGAGTCAGATCGAAGCGTACATTACACCGAGCTAGTGCATTGACGACTCCAGCAAAACCCAAATGGAATGGACAAGTGGAGTAGCGTGTGCATCTTAGTGACAATTCGCACTGAAACGAGCAGGTATTGGGACTGCATCTTGTGGACAAGCAGTCATTCTAGAGTGACCCGTGATCAATGTGGTGTGCTTGTTGCGTCGGCTGGAAGGTCTCGTGCTGAAAACATCAATGAGAGCTCGAGGCCCAGAGGTGTGCGGATTCTGGGACAGTAGCTCAAATCTTGAGGATGGTTGCTGCCCCGTTTGAGGTCACCCGGCGCTGTACAGGCCTCCTTGACAATTCGCCATGCTGTATCTTGACCGTCTCGCTCCTGAAGTAATGACGAAGAACATTGTATAAGCAGCGATACGAGCTGAAAGCATTCATATGTGTATGTGTAAGTGTGCTCTGTGCTTAATCGAGATGTGTCGAGCGATCATAGCCGACACCTGAACGTGGCGTTACTGTGTTGAATCAGCATTGATGATGCAGGCTTTGCATGGCAAACAGATGCACAACTTTTAGATGACACTCAACGATTTGCTTTCAAGATTGCTGGTTTCGCTAATTGTGCCACGACGCCGTTGTTAGTAGCCACGCACCTACCTCGGGGGTTACATCACTGGACCTCGGTTTGGTTTGGTTTGTTTTGAGTTTCTGCTTCATGTCGATACGCTTGTCAATGATAAAGTGGTTCGTGCACGACGTCCACCACGCCGAATTCAGCTGTAGCTGCATACGCTGTACGAGTCGAACGTGGCGACTCCCGTGGCGTTTGGAGCAACTGCTTGTCGTCACCAGACCCTTTTTTCTAACTTGCCTCAAGAGAGGCACCCGTGACGCCGTATGCGTCTATTTGCTTTGAGCAGTACGTCCGCCTGCGACTGTCAAGCTGCAACAATTTTTGAGGCGATTTTTCTCTTATCGGGGCATGACGTGCGAGAGACGCCGGCTGCATGTCAGTGACGACACCTCCGCTCTCCCTCCAGTCAGCGATAGAGATGGGTAGAAAGCCTCCATGTGCTTGTGCTCACAAGCTGGCTGTACCTAGAATCACATACCGAACGATGCCCTGCGTTGACGTTAAACCACTGACGTATTTATCGACGTACCTAGTAGTAATCAGAGTTCCCAAGCTCAAGCTCAGTTCATAAACCGTCAACATCCGCTTTCTCTTTCCTGCGTCCGCTTTTCAAATGCGGGAGGATTTTGCGCAGTACATGAGCTTTGTGGACGCCTGCTTGCGCGCCATTGAAAGCGCCCGAGACGATCACTTGATTCTCGACCTGTTCGCTGAACCATTGACCCGCCAGATCGCACCGAAGCTCGTGCCGCGTTTCAAAGCCGAGACCTATAGACCGGGAGATTTCATGGCGCTGCGCTCTCGATACCTTGACGAGGCCATTTTGCATCGCAATCCAAACATCCGGCAAGTGGTGATACTGGGTGCAGGGCTAGACACCCGAGCGTTCCGACTCGGCTCATTGCGTGGATGTCACGTGTTCGAGATCGACCAAAGCGTCCAACTCTTCGCACATAAGAGCGCGGTGTTGAATGAGTTGGACCCCGAGCTTATTGCAGAACGTCACAACTGCATCGTGGCCAACCTCAACGACTTCAATTGGGAAGAAAATTTACTGTCGAGTAGGTTTAATCCAGACATCCCCACGTTCTGGGCAATGGAAGGTCTTACGATGTACCTCACGCGTGCAAGCAATCTCGCATTGCTCAAGACCATCGATATCTTGTCGGCTCCAGGCAGTGAAATCTGGGCCGATATGGTGGGCGAAGCGTTCGTAACGGGAAGTGAACTGGGTCTCTTTACAGAATTGAGCCAACTGTGCGAGAGCGAGGTGGGCGAGACATTGTTCATATACGGTGAGAATAACGTGCTCGAAGGCGTGTTCAGTGAACTATCATGGGAGATGGAGGTGCAAGCTGCACTCGCGAATCAAGGAACGCATTTTGGACGCGAATGGGTCCCCATGCGCAGTCGACGGGACAACACCCCGGTGGCATTCACCTTTGTGCTAGCCAAGAAACCGCTAACAGATCTGTCGTAACCAAATAAGTCTTATCCAAATGCAAAGAAGCATATTAATATATCACTGATCTGGATGTCCAGACCTTGACAGCCAATGTTGATTTGAATTTTAGTCTAAAACATCTCAGGATGCTGACACTCTACTCTATCAATGACGCTTGAAACCCCAACAAGGACTTCGTCACGTCAGAGCAGCCGATAAACGCATCAACTTTATACGCCCTGCTAACAAAACTCACTAGTTCGTTAGCATAGGAAGAAGCAGTACATTTTCGATGAGATAAATTTTCGCTTGCCACATCAAGAACATTTCTCTCTAAAATGAGCCATTTACGCTATGCACATCATTATTCCGGATACTTCGTGCACACGACGTCTATGCAGTGAACGTTCTTCTAATGTTCTAGGTGCGGTGCTCACCGCTGACTCGTCTGCTGTCGCTAGCTACAGTGAACAAAGTTTACATGTCGTAAAAAGAACACCTATAGACAAAGAGAAAGATGTGCTTGACGATGACGATGACCGTAGAATTTAGATGCAGAAACACGCTTAATTTGTTATTTCCACTTCTCTAAAGCTTAGGTGATAGCTAGGAATACAAACTTCCCGTTGGACTTGTTGGGGGTAAGGCTGCAATGCAACAGGGATCAGGGATTCACTAAGAAACTCAAGAGCAAGCTAGCCGGCAACAAGACATAAAGTTCCGTCGACGTATTTGTGCATGTGTTGTCTGCTAGATCACCTCCCGAATAAACTGAGTCTACCGTCAGTGCTCGCGGTCAAGCCAACAAACCTGCCAAATTGTATGTGTTGCAATGAGACTGGAAGATAGGATGGCGAGCCTTGTTCTGCGCAAACTGTGACTGCAAAACTGTCGTGACGTTGGATGATCTGTCTTTAGCAGCCAAGTGCTGCTAAATCGCCGTGATGGATCTTATGTGACGACTTACTAATGCTATCCTCTCTCTCGGCGAGTTTCGTCGATCTATGCACGTTGTAAATCGAGTCCCAACCGATACAACGTCAATTGTAAGGTAATCGCAATCGGAGATTGCATTGCGGTAAAAGGTATCTTGTGTGATATCCCATGACGTCTACAATCTCGAGCAATATTGGTCGGTCGTCTCGATTACGCCTGGATGCCAAGTGCTGAGCATTATGGAAGCCTCAGGTAATGCTGATGATAAAAGGCTGTAGTTGCTGATCGATTAAGTATTCGCGATCAAGCAAACTTCTCTCACGGCCGTCTATACTTCCGTCGCTATCTGAGAAACTTGTCATAGTGATTGACTACTTGCCTAAACGGCTACTAATAATTGACGACGACCACAAGTCCGGCCTTTTTTTTGATTGTTTTTGTGACAGTGTTGCGCAATCGGGTTAGAAAGTATTGCGCAATCGGGTAAGGAGAGCCTCAAATAAGAAATCGATAACGTGGCTCCAAATCTTAACATTCATCACATGTAACAGTTTTGAAAGGGTTTCATATTCATTTTCCTTCTTGATCTCGTACTGATGGACGCCCAGCGCGCGTTACTCGATAGTCTCATGGGTTTAAACCGCGATGGCGACCGACCGAATGAAGCCATACTAGACTTCCATCATCCAAAGGTATGCAAGTTCTACTTGTGTGGCTTGTGCCCGCGTGAATTGTTCCAGCACACACGTCTGGATTCTGGCGCCTGCGAATTGTTGCATGTTCCTGCCCTGCGTTCGGCTTTTGAACAGGAAGAGAACGATGAACGGGATTTTGAGTACGAACGACAATTGGTTAATGAGCTGTCAAAATTTCTGGTTGACGTTGAAAAGAAGATCACGCGAGCTCAGAAGCGATTGGAAGAGGATGGAGATGATAATCAGGACAGGACGCAGGTCCTACAGTTTACACAGGATATACAGGACGCTACGATCAAAGCCGAGCAAGCAGCACAAGACGGAGATGTCGACAAATCGCTACAGCTGATGGAACAGGTAGAACTGTTCAAGAGAAAGAGGAGAGAAGTGCTGCGTCAGAGCACTGCAAATTCTAATGCCAGTAGTGTCACCATGATGGTAGACAATGTGAACCAGAAGTTGCGGGTCTGTGATGTGTGTGGTGCTTTTCTAAGTATTTTTGACAGTGATCGGAGACTAGCTGATCACTTTGGGGGAAAAGTGCATATGGGCTACGTGCAGATCAGAAAGAAACTGAAGGAGTTGATGGAGAAGATAAAAGTGGACAAGAAAGAAGACAAACTGAAAAGACGGCACCCGGTTGATAGGTCGAGACGAGAGGAATGTACGCGCAGGCGGAGAGAAAGCGAACCAGAACGTAGTCGCATTAATGATCGAAAACGACGGAGAGACAGAGACCGGTCGAGGAGTCGAGAGCTCCGACGTCATCGTGATCGAAGTAACGGTCGTAGTCATCGCAGGCGACGATCAAAGAGCTCCAGCCGAAGTCCTGAGCAAAAGCGGAGTCGGCGGTATCGCCACTAGAATTGAAAATGTGCTGCTGGGTGTACTAGTGGCATTTGCATATCAAATACGCAATAACCATTGATACTGATTACGCCACTTTTTGTTTACTATTACTGCGTACTGCACAGCTACTTATTGCTTACAGGATGTTTTGCCTTATGCAAAGTTGTTACAAATGCCTGGCGTCCGCCATTGGAGAGATGCAGACTTGTATATCACTTATTCGCTCGCTCTTGATGCGTTGCTTGGCCGACAGTACGGTATTCGCTTGCTTGCTTGTTCACTTACTTGCCTCAGCATGGAATCCACTTTTGGTATGTTAACTTGAGGTACCACCACCACCCCAGTACTTCCGCAACTTCTTCCATAGCTGTCTCCGCTGGTGGTGGTTGTGTCGTTGTCGCTGCTGATGCTCGCGTTTCGAGCTGCCTCCTTGCGCAACTTGACATCCAATATATTTTCCATCACTTTTAGATGCTTCTCCTGCAGCTCGATCATACGTTTAAAGGCATGACCATGAAGCACGCGCAAATTTGTCATCACTGAAGCTAGCCCCGCAAGCGCCTCTCTACTAGAGACTGTAATCGCTGACTTTTCATACAGATTGGCAATTTGCTTGGATGTAACTTCAGCGAGACTTTCGATCGCACTGATGAGCGAAGCATCGTGAACAACCACAGCCGGCTTAAAAGCATCTTCACTAGACCCAGACTCGTCGGGGGTCGTGGAATCAGCCTCTGTCTCCTTGGATTGGGTCGACTTTGCTGGCGGGTTGCCGCCGTGGCGCTTCCGGAATGGTACATCGCGCGTGCCACCGCTGGAGGAGGTGTAAACATTGCGTAGCGTGCCCCAATATTCCTTGTAGCTCGCACTGCTACGATCCAAGACGTCTGTCTGGCGCATATTGTAAGCGTCTGTGTAACGCATGTTGCTTGCATGGTATTCGGCATTAAGAGACCGAAGCTTTTTTGCCACTCTCTCGCTGTTGTTGCCACCTAGGTCACCTGTTTCTGTTTGTGCCAGTGTTTTTGCTGCACGTATCTCGCCGCTCGTATACGAGGCCGGTCCCTGTAGCCGCCTTCGAGGTGCTGGACTCAGAGCCCGGCTCACATCGTCGTGCATGTGATGCCATCGCGCCGAGCTGTCTGCCTGCCGCTCCATCGCCATTGCGTGCTTGCTGGTTACTGGTGTCCTCTGTGTATGGTTCGCAGTGCCTGGGACCATGAACAAATGCTTCTGGCAAGGATGATTAGCCGAATCTGCTATGAGTTGTCTCGATGATCCAGGCAATCCAGCCCGGAACACACGACGTCTCAAAGACGGTACGCCCACCGGCGTCGATGAAGCAAAACGCTTTCCATTGTGAATGCTAGCGGCGCCAGATATGGTCGCTACCGTTACGGCTTGTGGAGATGCACCAGCTGGCTGCTCTACAGCACTATCGTGAGCAGCCATTTTCAACTTATCGAGTCCAGCGCCTTTAATCTCTTCGACACCTTGCTGTTGTTGCTTTTGCTGCTGCTGCTGATATTGTTGCTGACGTCGCTGCTGCAATACCTGTGTGCCGCTGTGTAATCGAGCAGGAGGCTGAGAAACCTTCTCGATCACAGAAGGAGCCGGCAGCAGGAGTGGTGGTGCGTGCACAGATGTCAAAGTCTGGACCGCTATTTTAGCCACCAATTGGGTTTGCACCTGATTCTGGGACTGCGGCATACTCGGGGATTTCTCGTGTGTTTGTTGCTGTCTGTGTGCTGTTTGTTGTACTTGTTCCGAAGTTGTTTGCTGCCCCTGCGTATCTGCTGTCTGTCCTTGTTGCGCCGACAGCTTGGCCTGCTGCAAACGCTCCTGCTGCTTCTGTAGACGATGTGAGTTGGTGCGCTCCTTGTGCACATCCCACGCCCGCGTGCGGAAATTAGAATTCATGATGATGGGCTTAGGTTTCTTGCCACCATGCACGGCATAATGGACATGGCAGATCTTGCACAGCACAAAACGACCTTCATCGTCCACGCTCAGCACATCCGGGTCGGAGAGAATACTGGGTGGCCACCAGTTGGCCTTGCGCTTGGGCATGCTGCTGAGCTTCTTTGCAAGCTATTGCGTTCCCGTCCTAACACTTGAATTTTTCCCCTTGGTTAGCTCGTCTAGAACGCCCTCGATGCACTTCGTCAGTATTAGAGAAGTTCCTAGGACACCCATATAGTTAGTAATCGGAACAAGGGAAGAGCTACAGGGGGAGGCATGCTGCGGCATATTACAGACAACTACTAATCAAGGTCCTTTCTTTACTTACTTGTGCTCGAGTCTGAGGATGCTACAATGAAGCGCTACATTTGGTCTTTGTATTGTTTCTCGCGACCGCCTTGTTCGCTCTCTGTTCCGTTGCGCAAAAGTAGTAGATTTTATTTGATTTTACAGTGAAATTGATAGCAATACCACAGATGAGCTAGAAATGTCTTCAAATGGTATCAAATCAAACAGGTATTGGATTCTACAGGTAGGATGTGAAACTGCTGGAGCCAGCTGCGAACGGCGGTCGGTCGGCGTGGTCGGTTGGTAAACATATTAAAGTTTATATGATCGAGTTTTACCCAAGCTGAAGCCCGTCTCCAGAAAATAGCCTCGGTAACAAGAGCAGTGGTGACGCTCAACTGAAGCTCGACTCAGGCCTCTTTCCTTTTGGCTGTCGGATTGCAGGCATCGCGGTCGAATCTGTTTTCCACGGGGTTAGCGCTAGTCATTGCATCAGTTGTTTCAATAAACCGCGCATTGTTACGATTGCCGCTCAAACTCTTTTCTAAAGTTGGTGGTAAACGATTAAAGAGGTTTTTCGGTAGTGATACACTTAATCCTCTCCACAGTGATAGTATCGCTAATAATCACTATTTGAAGGAGCTCAATTTATTTGGCATCTGCCCTCATTTCATTATTTCTACAATTTTAAAAGTCTGCGTCTTATTTCTCTTCAAATCTGTGCGTCACTCTCGAGATGAATTATGTTGCAATCTTTCTTTATTGCAATCTCTTTACATATCTCAACAAATTAATATAGCAAGAAATTATGAAGTCGAGCCTCTCAGCGATATAACGGACGCCATTCGATTGATATGTTCATTTGACAGCCCCAGGCTTCGTCCAAGCCTACTGTATCACTGTCGAATAGACCGATTTTTATCTAAAGAAAGGTCATTCATCCTCTTGCAACGATTATAACTCCCCTGGACACAAGAGAAGGGTATCTCTCTAAATAGAAAAGAGTCGTTTCTCATCAATTATTCATACAATGTAACGGGGTGAGCCCGTATTGACACTTATATGAAGTGTCAATAAAAATATTTTTATAAGTAATAATATCTGACAATATTATCTTTTCTTATAATATTGTCCCTAGATCTCCTTGAAGTTGGAGATGCCCTCTGATTGGTTGATATGGACCATCATATCAACCAACGCGCTGACCAATGACCGACGGACGCGCGCAATGAGTGGAGGGCAAGTTGTCAACATACATAGTTGTAGTTTAATATAGTTAACATAGGTTATAACAGATTAGTTTTATTAAGATAGTTAACTATATTAAATACAGTTTTCTTTTCCTCTCAACTAATCGTTGTTTAGTTGATAAGCTTCCTCTGATCACGTGTAAAAGAGGTAATTGAGGCACCTGCTTTCACTGTAATCAGTGAAAGTAGACTATACTGTAATCAGTATAGTCGGAGGGTGCCCCATTACACCTGGTAGCACTTCGTGGTCCGTTCAGCGACCACCGCACCACCGCTATGGAATCAGCGGGTGATGAATGTCATCACGCAACGCGTGATGATTTCCGCCATTTGAGTGAATGCGGTTCAGCGTATGGCTGAAACCATCGGCAACCCTGCCGTTGGTGCCATGTTACTCAATCTTAGCTGTGGTGGAGTGGGATTCGCAAAATTGCTGATGCGATTCCAACGTCTCCACTGGCGCCCAGGCGACCGACAAACGGAGGGGGTACCCCGATTCCGTGTATATAGCCTTCCTCACCTTGTGTACCCGTCGGTAGGGCGGGTTGCTCTCTCGGTGGACTTGAGTCGATGTTGATCCTAATCGGGTTAGGGATAGGGGCTTTGGTGATCTTGTGGAAATCTTTACAAGATCGACCGAGCACTTGTTTGTTGATCGTACCAATAGATCCCAATAGTCCAATAAGGCGAAGCTTGAATCTTCTGACCACTTGAGCAGAACACTCTGACCACTTGATCCGTTCTGCACTTGCTTGCCTTGCCCTTACTTGTTATTTCTGCGTCCAATAGCAGTTGAGTTGTTGTGTTAAGAATTCTTTCACCTGGCCAAAACAATCCAGGGTGCACTTGTAGTCGATAGTCTCGGCGTCAGGAGGCCAAATATCCTTCCCGGAATAGAGAAGTCGACACGTGTACTTAGAAGCAAATTGAACTCTGTTTAATGTTAACTAATCAAATACCAAAACCTATGATCTTGCCTATCTGTAGCTCAGGATCTATTGCCACGTATCGCCCTTTCAAAAAATCAGATCTTGTAATGTGGTCCACTCCAATATCGCCGCGATCTGGATGGATCGCTACCTCGATTGGATCTAATACCATTTTTTGTATCGGATCGCGGTACTAATAATTAGTATCGGATCGCGGTACTAATAATTAGTATCGGATCGCGGTACTAATAATTAGTATCGGATCGCGGTACTAATAATTAGTATCGGATCGCGGTGCTTAAATTAGTATCGGATCGCGGTCCGCCGGATCACGACTTGTCCTCTTCACCGTTTCTCGGGTAATGTGAGATGGTACATCTATATGACATGTCATGTCCACCTCATTCCAGTATTGTATAGCGACGTGATCCACACCAGACCGTCTTCCACATACTTGGATGTACCAATCCTCCTTCTTAGCGATCGCGTTCACGCGGGTCACCATCGAAAAATACCTGAGATCGCAATTGCGTAGTTTCTAGGCCATAGTTAACTCCACATAGAACTGCGAACTCCACCATTCACTTTTTTCCATCCATTTTCCATCATCTCGAAACTTTTTCTGCGGGATCGCGATTCATCCATATTGGACATTTCGGACTTAACCAAAAATATGTGATCACACTTTACCAAACTCACTCTTTCGCTTCGCCACAATCGTCCCCTGCACCGTTAGCCCACATACAGTGTTGGCCTAGCTGTGCATTGTCTCGTTTCTCCCTTCTCGTCACTTCGTCCTCTATGGCCAGATCTCCACCCGAAAACGATCGCCACTCCCGAACTGGTGTGCTCGTCATGCTCGATCTACCGATGAATTCTTCTACCGGATCGCGTATCTTGCTCGCGTCTACTGGGAAATACTTCCTCCCGTTACGGATCGTCAAACCGCGATCTCGTTAATCTCTTCACTTTATAACCGCCTGGAAGCCCAAGATACCATCGTGGAAGGTTACCACTCCATGGAAATTGCCTTGCAGAAGCAAGAATTTCGTGGAAATTAGCTGGATACGGAATTCAATTCGTATCACGAGTTGGTGCCTCGACTGTGCACATTCGTCTTGCGTCGAGATGAAGAGTTTCGTGAACAACTTGACACCGCTGTCAACATGGCCGAAGATCTCGACCAAGAACTGAACCAGCTAACAGATCAGTCTCAAGAGATCGCGGATCTAAAGAATGCCTTGTTTCGGGCCAATGCAGAGAAACATCGCCTGCAGGATAAATTCCGCCGTGAGGTGGCCAATCTTCAGCGATCTCTGGAAAGAAAATTTCGGCAGCAGATCGCGTCCCTTCAACAGCAACTGTATTCCATCTTCGCACAGCGTAATGCTGCAGACAGTACTTTGGCTGATGACTTTAAACGCATGAAAAGCAAGGCGTCTAAGTACAAGAAAGCTCGCTCTCAGGCCCAGCAAACTGCGAAACAACTACAAGACACGCTGAGCGCGCTCGAGCTTGATCATGATCGCCTCCTGAGTGCGAGTATTCGGAACGACGCAGCCTTGAGTCGACTTCGTACCGAAGTTGCAGATCGAGAGGCGGAACACGATCTGGCCATCCAGGATCTAGTATTAATTCGTTCGCATTTGGCAAAGTTGGCCACGGGCTTACTTCCTTCTCTGACCAGCCTTCACACGTCTTCCAATCCCTCGTCGCCCAATCGCAAACGTGCATCATCTTTACCGACTCTGGACGTTTCCTGCAAACGTCCCCGCAGCGCTTCCGGTACTTCTACTCCATCTAGTACCTCGGCGCGATCTGAAATTCCGGCGCGATCTGGTACTACGACGCGATCTGGTACTTCGACGCATTCTCATACTTCAGCGCGATCAGGTACTCCGGCGCTATCTGGTATTACAACGCAACCCAATGTTCCGTCGAAAGTCAAAGGGAAACGCAAAGCTTGTCCCTCACCTTCGCCTGACTCTGAGTATGACGGATGGTCTTCCGATCCTGAAGACACTACACTTGCTGCTCTCTCCGGATCGCGTTCAACCGCGAGGCTTCGCACCACCGTGACGAAACTCTTTGGCAACACCGAATCGTCTCAGTCTCCTATCATAATTCACAATGGTAGCCCACCATCCAGAAAATCACCAGTCTTGAATCCCGATACGCCTCCTAGCCTTACGGCTAAAATTTCCAAGGTCGACCTTTTTGGCGAACCTTCTAGCGACCCGGACGAAAAAATTAGCATTTCCAGTGACACTCGCGAAAGTATATACCCGTTGCACACTCCCGCTCAATACGCCGATCTGCCGGATATCCAAGAATCACGTTTTGCATAATTTCATAGTATTGTGAGCGAAAACCCCCATCGTCGATTTAGGTTGCTCCATGGTGCGCTCGACGGGTCAATCTGACCAGTGTTGCGGAATTGGGAGTGGAGTTTTTCTATCGACACTTGTCCCGACCGAAAGGGTATCCCTTCACTCCTCAAAAGCTAATCTTAAGTCTCTTCTTGATTCTGAGTGGATTCCCCGACTGATTACCCCGGCACAAGTTACTGCGCTTTACGATCAGGAACCGTGGAACGTCACTCGTCGACCGATTACTCCCATCTTCTTTCCTATGACCGGCT